CTGTGTGAGTAGGTGCTTCGTCAACGCAGTCATCATCTCCTGATTGCATTGAAGGACTCTGCCGAAGCTAAGACGTAACAGTGGCTTTGAGAAGATGAACGCAATGTCCCTCCAGATATGCAGAAATCTTGTAAAATGGTACGCCTGATATTACGATGATATATGCAATCAAAAAACAAACCCTCAACGAGGTATGCTGGATGGGCACCTCGCATCAAGTCCGCAGACCCAACACACCCAGCATGGGCACCTCTTGGACAGAGCCATGGCAATGAAATACTTTCTCATGGTACAAGGGTCTAGGGCTTCGGGCTGATGGGAGTTGCTGGGCGGATCGGCTCATGGGTCTCGGGTAATGTAGGTTTCGCGACGAGTTGATGGGTTTGCGGTGCAGGGCATCGGCAATCGTGCTGATAGGACGATAGGACATTTCGTGAGTTATGCCAATAGCCTTTTCTTAATACTCCTGCGGACGGGTCTGGAGAATTATTGACAGCATTCCTTTCAAGCCTCTATATGTGTGTGTATATATATATATATGTGCATAATGTATGGTCTACTGTGTGTATATATATATATATATATGTATGAGCATGATGTACCTCCAAAATCCTATTCCAGTGATCAAGGCCCCTACAGTAACCCCCTGCTGTCGCAAATTTCCTTGGCTTCAGGATGAACACGCCGCAGATTGCCGGTCAGCTGAACACTGGGCAGTCAGCCGTTATGCAATCGGCCGGCGATGCTGGCTCATGGGCCAGCATGACTCCGCAGAGCTTATGGGTGCCCAATGTTCCAAACCAGGTGCCGGGGGAGAAAAGGGCAATGCCCAAGCCCCACAATTAGCGACACAACTTGCCTTCCCCTATAATTATCAGGCTGCTCTGAAACCACCCTAAACCTAAATCTAAGCCCCAAGATCTCAAAAGGTTGCTCTGAAACCCCTATCTGCCTTGCATCCAAGGGGAACAGGAGCGACCCTTAATAAGGACCCTTAGGTAATATACCCTTAATATAGATATTAATTATATACCCATTATATAGCCCATTATGGGTAGGGGTCCCCATTAAGGGTCCCTCCTGTTTTTCCCCTTTGATTGCAGATACAGCAGATGCAGACGATGCAGTTCCAGCAGAACTCCCTGTCTAACGTTGCTCCGGAGCAGGCGACTTAGGGGTACTTGGAAATATTTTTAAAATTTTTGGTTATTATAATCCCTAAGCAACAGCTAAAACTCTGATTTTTTTTCATTTTTGGTTGTTATAATCCCTAAGAAACAGCTAAAAAATACCATTTTGCTAGGGTTCTGAGTTCAGTTTGGAGGCGATGCCACGGGTCAGCCGATGGGGTCAGCGATCCGAGAAGGCCGGGGCCTCAGGGGCCCCTTAGGGTTTCTTAAGAGAAAGTCCCTTCGGTTTAGGGTTTAGGGTTTAGGGTTTAGGGGTTAGGGGTTAGGGGTTAGGGGTTAGGGTTTAGGGTTTAGGGTTTAGGGTCCCTTCATGAAGTAGCCGTTACTTTTGTTCAATCAGAACCCTAAGAGAACTTCTGTAGTCGCTTCATGAAGTAGCCTTTGTTTCTGTTCAATCAGAACCCAAGAGAACTTCTGTAGTCTCTTTATGAAGTAACCTTTATTTTTGGTTCAAACAGAACCGAAGAGAGTATTCAACATGTTGTTTTCATTATGGTTCTGAGGGGCTCTGAGGGTTTCGGGGTTTAGAGCTTTCGGGGGCGGTTAAGCGTAGACGTTCAGGGCCGGGTTAGTATATACTGCAAATGGACGACACAGCAGTAACCACACTGAAGTATGTTTTGTCCTTGTCACGCAGCATGTTTTGCCTTAGCAGGCTGTAGGTCTCTTGAATCGAGTGTGTGCCCATTCCATGTCATTGCGGCCGCTGTTCCGTTGATGCAGTGCCCTAAACCCTAAACCCCCTCAACCCTAAACCGAGGATAGCAAGACGGAGGATGAGCAGAAGTCCAACTGGTGGTCTGAGAAGTCGCAGCCGCATCGGAATCTCAGATCTCCCACCCCCCCCCCAAAAAAAATTGCAAGCTTTTGCTAGGACCCAGAGTAGGCAGTTATTCCTTTTTTTGGGGTTTAGGTTCCCTTATAACCCCCTTTAAACCACAAAGGGCACCCTTGTTATTCCTAGGTTACTCTTAGGTCGAGTCCCAAACCCCAAAAAAAATGTCAAGCTTTGGGGTTCTTCTTGAAGCAGTTATTCAATTCACAGCTGTCGAAACCTTTGGGGTCTTGGTACACAGTGCTAGTCTCAAAAACACCTAACTTTCGAACTATCGGGGTTGGGTTTCCGCTTCATGTTCTGAAACCACAGTCTTTGATTTCTTGCAAAAGTGGAAGTGAGGAACCACAATGCGGACGCGAGCAAGACGGAGCCCTGGCAAAAGATCAGCCGATGATGTGATAGTATAAGTACACAAGCTATATGCACCATGCTAGTGGTGCTGCTTGTCTCTCGGGCCCAAGAACACAAACTCTCAAGCATAAGTGCTCTAAGCCCTAAGCCCTGTAGAACCCCTGCAAGGGCCTCTTAAGCCCCTAAACCCTAAACCCCTAAACCCTAAACCCGCCTGACCTAGGACTGGAAGGAGCAAGCCCAGTCGCAGCAGGCTGAAGCGCCTCTAGTGGCCCCGGATTGGTCGAAAATACACCGACCGCAGCTCCCTGGCTGAAATGCGAGCTTCCGAAAATAGGGGACCCTAATATAGCGCCCGAAATAGTAGGATCCTGATTATAAGGACCCCAAAAACAGGTACCCCTAGTTTCGGAAACCCCCAAAATGCAAACTGGAAGACTTTCTTTAGATAGCTCAAAGAAAGACGGCAGAAAGTGACTGAGGATAGGCAAGCCCTTAAGGTTCAAATGGGTCCTTGGGGATGTAGGGCTGTAAGGCTTTGGGTGATTTTCCTACTAGTAGAGTAGGTAACCTTTAACCTTCATTTTTGGGTAATATAGCCCCTGTATAATCCTTATATAACCGAAAAGGTTAACCTTTAGTTCCCCATGATACCCGACAAGTAGGTTTTTTTTTTTGTTTAGGTTGTCACGGTTTAGAATGGAGGAGGCTTGCAGGGTGTGCGGCTTGAGGTTTGTAACCTAGGGTTGCGGGGTGTGGGGCTGTGTATGAGGAGGAGCTGCGGGGCGTAAGCTCAGGATGAAATCTTCTTGCAGGGCGTCTTATTTGTGAGGCAGGATGCTTGGGAGCATGCAACACCCCTGCCCTATACAACCTGGTGGAAACTGCACCCTAAACCCTGCACCCTAAAGTCAGCACAGTCACGACACTTGATCAGAGCATTGTCTGTGCGGCTTTTTTTCTTTCCGAGACACGAAGTCCCGCTGAATCCCCATCTTCACCTGCCATGACATACTTGTTTGCAGGGACCCCACAACAATTAGCTTTGACACCGAGGGTGCGTACCAAGACGCTGCGGACAAGTAGTTCCGAATCAATGATGGTAAGTTGCAACCTCCCGGGATCGTGATGCGCTCAGGTTCAAACGCCACTTCCTCGGTGTCCCGAATGTTGAGGACACCTGCGATTCTGCTAAGTAGGAAAGCACTGTGTTTGAGGCAATTGGAAGAACTTCCAAGATGTGAAAACCGATCTCAAGCATTTTTTCAAGTATACCTTCGCTGTATATAACCACGTAGTATTCGTACATGCATACACATGCACGCGCATGCATACAACTATAGTTGTTTACATACATGCATACATACATACACATGTGCATTGCATTGCATGGCGATACATTGCAAGTGTATGTATACACACATACTATATACACACACATGTGCAAATGCGGTATAACACAGTAATTACAGTATGCTGTGCTACAACGCAATACAATAGAGTACAGTACGATACGATACAGCACAATGCACTATCAAGCAGCAGTGTCAAACCCCATGTGCACACAAATGTATGTTCGGATGCACGTACATACATGTTTGCTTGCTTGATTGGTTGTTGTCTTGCGTGCATGCTTACAACGACGCATCCATGCAAAAGGACATGCAGACACGCTCACATGCACATGTGCAACAACGTTCCAGGAGAAATTAGCTTGTGCTCATGTGACTCATGTGGTTCTGCCTTTCGTGCTTGCTCGGAACATGCTTGGAGGATGCAGCTGCCGAGGCAATGCGGCGACAGCTGGGCATCGTCATTGAGGATCGAGGCAGGCATGGCTTGTGTCCATGTCCAGGACATGATGATGTAACGCTGTATATATATATATATATATATACATATATATATACATATATAGGTATATATGTACATAAATTTAGATGTATGCTAGTAGTAGCATTTCACTGTTTTGCGTAACTATTACCGCCATGATTATCATTGTCGCTTACTATGATTTCGACTGACAAAAGAAGGCTATGACTAGTCGCATTCTCATTTCCATGGTGCTATTACCGTTGTTATTACTATTGTAATTGTTGTTATTTTAGTGCGGGTCATATTCTGTGTTGATAGAGGTTGTACCTAGACTTCCATACTATCGTGGCTAACTCTAGCCTGCTATGGCTATAGGAGTCGGAATGTTCAGTAATCGTATTCCTTTGCAACAGAACCTACGTTTGACTTGCTTTGCCTTATCATTCAAACCTTATGGTATAGCCCCCTCAGCCTTAGGCCGTAAGGAACCCCCCCCCCCCTCCCCACCACCCGCCTCTCAACTTCTACCTAGAGTCTTCATTGTAGTTCCTTGTTTTGGTTTAAACAATTCCATATTAGGGATCCTAAAAGGGAACCCCTAAAAGGAACTACAATGGAGACTACCTAGACCACCCGCCCCCCCAGAATAAGCGCCACTGTTGCTTTGTAGGCGAATAAACGCAATCTTTAGCAAGAAACGCAATTTAGCGTAAAAAAGGTAATCGCGCTTTCCTGCTCAGAATGAAAAAACGTAATCTTGCATGGTGCTTGCTGCTGCAATCGGAACACATACATGGCAATCTTTTTCATTCCGGCAACATCTTCTCGAGAAGCGATCTCATTTTCACGAGGTACCTTTGAATTGTGCGCAAACTGCACGTTCTCGCCGCTACACGTCGTGAGACCCTCGCTTGGCGCCCTATAAAGTCTTCGTTTTGTTCACACAATGCTATTGCCGGCGAAAGCGTAAACTCAGCGCCCCTGCCCAGCTGCACCTGTTGGTCCAGGATAAAATGTGCCATATAATGAAGTTTGGGTCTGAGCCTAAACCCCGTCACCAGACGATCGATACAATCTTGGGCAAGATAATTGTAGCCGCGAAGAAACGAATGTCCGGAGTCCACAAGCAGCTGAGAGCAAGCTCTGGGTAGCCAGAGGCCATGCGAATGCATCACTCCAGTGAATGTCAGAGCACCTTCAATAGTTTGAGCCATGGCCTTAAGAGTGATAACATCCCCTGCCTGTTTAGGCTCTGCATTCAGAAAGATGCTGATCTGCGCTTGCAGCCATTGCAGCAACATTGTCGACTCGCTACCCTTGCAGTTCACCCAAGCAAACTTGCTGTACTTCTCGAAATTGAAATTATTCTTGGTGAACTTCTTCAGGGTTGGATTCTTGCCTTCAGCAAGAGCCCATAATCTGTACATCCCATAGGCTCGCTCGAGTCTTGGTTCGATGCCGATCAAATCAGAAGGCTCGAAGTCAAAATAAGCCATGGCACACAAACGTACCACGATGCTCGCGATGCAATCTCTGAACACTCCATACTTCAGGACGTGGAACGGGTCGAACAAATAAGCGGATGCGGGGTTCTTGCTAGCATAAGGGATATTGTGCAACGGCGGTGGAGCATCCCATGGATCGCTGGTGCCGACGGTGGCTGCCCACCCTGGACTGTCGCTGCAGTCCGTGAAACTCAATCCCGGAGCCCCTGCTTCGCATTGGGGGCAGATCATGATGTCTTTCTTTGTTCCGGTGTTGAGGTAAGATCTGTTGAACTCACCAGCTTCCCAGTGGAATTCAGCATCGCCCTTCACACCGATGTAGGCGAAATGGAAACGAGACCCAGAAGCCTCATGAAGTATCCCGTCTTTGAAGAGACTGGTGAGTTCGGAAGCCACCTCTCTGAGGAGACTTTGCAATGCATCTGCATTGCGGTTGTAAACTTTCGACGGGATTGCAGCGATCAGCCACCGGCTAACGTAGGAGTGTCCTTTGGAATTGTGCTTTTGGTGGGAGTCAGGTCGCTCATGCTTCAACTTAGACCCTCCAGGGCAGCCAGGGCTCGATTGCATTGTGCATTCATGCATGGCAGCATATTTTCGCTTCATGCCAGACTTCTCCACTCGCTTACCGCAACTCCACTTGAGCTTTCCATCCGCAAACTGCTTTCTGAGATAAGACTTGCAGTCGTATGAGCATTTCTTCAAGAGTTGGGGATCCAACCCATACGGTGTTTCCCAGGAAGCTACGAAGATCGGCGACTTTTGCAGCGTGCGCCCCTTATCTCCGTGTAGCAATATGGGAATGTAGTGTTTTCTTTCATGTTCTGGAACCTGGAAAACAACGTGGTCTGGATTGGTGAATCTGTAGCGAGCCCAAAAGTTAGCATTCAAAGCCTCGGCTTGCGGCCCCACTTTCAATCCTCCTAGGAGAACCTGCTCATACTTCTTCTTGTTCAACAGAGTATCCACATAATCTCGAACCCGTAGATATGGGATTGAAAGTGGTTCATTGTCTTCGGATTTCGGGATTTCCAGGGTCGATATAGGAACCTTCAACGACAGCCCGTAGCGATTGAATAAACGATGGGCGTTTCGCTCTCCGTGGGATCTATCGACCCTGGCGCCCTCCTGCACGGATGGAAGCATGCAGCCATCTCTCAGGACGGCAGCGGAGATATCACCGACACTCGAAGCAGGAGCCTCATGAGACAAGTTGGCTATGGGGTGGGCGATGATCGGGTATACATGTTCTAGGGCAATAGGGTGGGTGTTTGGTTTCGAAAATCAGGGCCAATTGAGGGGTATCTTATTTATAAGATAATGATCGTTTTGCTGATTTGTGGTTCAGACTGCACATCATAGCTTTATTTTTCTAGATAGGGTTTGGTCTTGCTTGTTGCAGTAATCCCGTCAAACAACTACAGTACGATGTGGCCTTAATTTGGGGTGTCAGCTATATAGCTTAATTCGCATCACAGGGGCACGAGCTAGATCGATAAAGTATTTTGGTAGTTTGCTGGGTCCAAACTAATTACATTCATAGCTTCTGTTGGCTTGGGTGGGGTCAGCTTAGCTTGAGCTTCAGGACGATTGAGTTTTCGGCTTTCCGGTGTTTTTGGTGATCCAGTTTTAATTATATTTGTCCTATATAAAGGCCGGGATAGGTTTCTATCCAAAACATCGGAGACTTACAGGAAATGTGCTTAAGCTTCTTGGGGGGGTTAACTAAGGTTATAGCATCAATCAGGGGATCATGTAGGCAAGTAAAGGTGCACAATATGTGTAAAGTCATCATTCAATCTGAGACGTCCACTCCATCAGCCACACGTTCAGCAAGCGCTCGGAGGGTGTGGCTCGGTACCAGATCACCTGCCATGCGGTTACTTCTGCAATTATGTTAAATAACATGTCACACATATAAGTGCAGAGTCGCATGCAATCAGCCACTGGCATCCGGTCTGAGCAGACTTTCGTTCATTTATGGTCACCGATCGAGGCGCTCCAAAACTCACGAGGCCCTGCAGTGAGCCCTTCACACGAAGCCAGCATCCCAACTGCCCTTTACAAGAAGTAGTCTATGCCGACGATTAATCCATCCCATGTGAAGATCACTGCAGCCCTTGAGGAAGGATCTGGAAATCGACCCTGGCACTCACTTCTTCGGCTTCTTGGCGGAGGGCTCACTGGGCGGAGCCTTGACTCTCTTAGGATTGGTCTTTGGGGTTGGCTTCCCAGGCTCGTTCTTCGTCTTCACGGGTTGGATGATGGTCCTCACAAGGGTTCTCGATAGACTTGTCCAGGCATACATGGTGGAGTTCGCAGCACAATCAGCTTTGCAATCCTAGCACGGGTCTCCAACTCGGACGATTCGATCAGCCTCGGAGCAAGCATAAACCCCATCACCGCACACAAAGGCACGTTACAGGGTTGATCTTGCGTGCAGTCACGGTTCAGTTTGCGGCATGTACCCAGCTCCACGTCGATGGAGTTTTCCATCCTCAGAGACAATACAAATTAATTTGTATATGCCCTGGAATATTATATATATATATATAATAAAAACCCTATAGTTATATAAACCCTATATAAATCCTATGTTATAAACCCTAAACAGAACACCGGCTTCCGAAGTAAGTATACAATATCGACCGGAGCATATATATATATATATATATATATAGTAATTCTAAGCAATTCTAAGCAGCCCAAACAGCTCTCGAGTTTGAGTGGGCTCCGTCAGATCTTTCCGGGCTACTTTTGTTAAGGTAATATAGGATCGGGGTCTATTAACTAGAAGTCTAAAATCATGATTGTGTATTGCACGTTCGGAACTTGTTCGGTTAGCGAATATGTAACAAGCCCAGCAGCTGATCAGTGTAGCCATCCAGCACACCCTCAGGCTTGGACTGCTGCAACTTTTCGCAGCAACCATCCAACTGGGTGTAGAGAGCCCGGATCTTCTCGTACATCCTGAGCACTGAAGAGATTAATGGAATTACACAGTTTGTATGTGTAGCACACTGTATGCTGACAAAAAGGCTTCTCTTGGAGATCTGAACTAGAAGAGGGAGTCGTTGGGGTCGCAGGGTCCGGTTGTCGTGCTGGAAGCATCTCAAACAGCTTCTTCAATCGCCGAGTGCAGGCCTGCACAGCCTTGTCGATTAGCCCCGAAGGCTTCGAAGAATCATGAACTTCTGGGTACCCCAACTTCTTCAAGACCTCACTGAGATCCTCGTTCAAAGGCCCCGAAGTGGTGACACCATCCGAGACGTCCTGTAGCGAGTCGGGCCTCGAACCTCATGTATAGCACAGGCATGATCTGTGGACATGGTGATCGCTGCGGCACAGCCACTGACTTGCAAATTAGCAGCTTCCACCTTGATCGAGGGCTTCTTCCAAGTCCACATCCATGCTTAGACCGCCCCCCATGCCTTCAGCCTCCATTGTCTCGGTCATTCGGAGTCGGTCGGTCTTCCTCAGGTTGTGACATGGTTTACATACCATAGAGTCTTTTACATCGATCTGTGTGCAGACAAGGGACTTGTTGTGGCCTTTAACTTTGATTTCACAATAGTAGGTGAGGTGGCCGGCCTTGTAGGGGTGCTTCCTGGGATGGATAACGATCTTTGTTGATGCTTGTGTTTCGCTATATAGTGGTTATACAAATGCAAGAAAGGCACCGGATTTTGCGATCTTTGTCCAGCTGGGCTTTTGCAACACACTCATCGATCTCATCCCTTGGCTAGGGCATAGATGTTAATTCGTTTGAACTATATATATAACAATATGTAGGCACGGGAATGTATTGTACCCTCAAACCCATAATTATAAACCTATATTATATATATTTCATATATATACATATTATAATTCTACGATTTCTCTACATTAACATAATATTATAAGCCCTGGACCCCAAAAGTATGTAGAATAATAGCAGTTTATAGGTTTTGGGCCATTATTTTACCTACTTTGGGGGGTCTAGGTGCTTATAAGCCATTGTAAAGATCAAGGGTTTGGCTAAACTGCTTCTGATTCGCTTGGACATATTCTGCTCGTCGGCCATTTGTTGCTTGGTAAGGAACTCAAAATCAACCTCAGTTTCCAGCTCCAGCTCCTTATAGCGCTCCACGGAGAACTTGTTGATGAAGATTTCCTTCCAGGGAAGTGTGACATATCGTTTATACACATGCATGCATGCTTCATCTATGCACATGACATGCAACATATTGCTCTGTCCGGATTGTTGTCGCAGGAAGCGAACAGCTGCATCACTCTGTCTTTCGACTTGCCACCAGCCATAAACTGGTCCCGGATTTCTTTTGCAACCTTGAAGACCCCCTTGCTGCTCGGTTCCATGCACCTCATGATGCGCTTCGTAATGGCACCCGACGTGGGAGGAGGGGCTTTCGGGAGGCCGGGGGCCTTTGCTGGCGGCTGCACTTTTGCTGCGGCTGATGCTGCTGCAACCTGCGTTGGGGGAGGAGCTGGGGGAGAAATCGATTTTGAAGCTGTCGCCCCGGAGATTGCCAGTGCTTGCTGGGGTGGCTTGGCCTTCACGGGGTGTCGGAGGCGGTGTCGGTGATTGAAAAAGGCTGCGAGTGGGCCAGGGGTCTTGGGCATCTTGGCTCGATGGGGCCCCCACTGGAGACAATTGCTCTGTTGGCGTGATTGGGTTGCCAGTGGGGCTCGTAGTTTCCGGCTTTGCAATCAAGGGTGCTTGCTGACTCGCCATGATTGCATCCGTCTCCGCTAGCGTGGTTTTCAGCTCTGCTTGAAGTTCAGCGAGCTTCGCCTTAGCCTTAGCCAGCTCTGCCTTTTTGGCCCTCTCTGCTGCTATGTCCGCTAGCAGTGCTGCAGCACGTGCTTCATCCTGCTTCCCTTTCTCCTCTGCCTGTCGAAGAGCCTCAGCCCTTTCCTGTGCCAATCGTGCTCGCCGAGCCCGTTCATCCGCCAGAAGAGCCTCGTTCCTTTGCTCCACCAGTCGCACTGACTCTGAAAGAACCTCAGCCCTTTTCTTGGCCAATCGCTCTGACTCTGCCTCCTGTTGTGCACGAAGAACCTCAGCCCTTTCCTTGGCCAATCGCTCCGACTCTGCCTGCACCTGTTGCGCACGAAGAACCTCAGCCCTTTCCTTGGCCAGTCGCTCTGACTCTGCCTCCTGTTGCACCCGTAGAACCTCAGCCCTTTCCTTGGCCAATCGCTCTGACTCTGCCTGTTCCTGTTGCACCCGAAGAACCTCAGCCCTTTCCTTGGCCAATCGCTCTGACTCTGCCTGTTCCTGCGCCCGACGAACCTCAGCCCTTTCCTTGGCCAATCGCTCCGACTCTGCTTGTTCCTGCACCCGAAGAACCTCAGCTTGCTCCTTTGCTTGTCGATCTGCTTCTGCACTTTCTTGGGCCTGTCGCTCGGACTCCACTCTCTCCTTTGCCAAACGAAGAGCCTCAGCCCTTTCCTCCGCCAATCGTGCTTGCTTTGCTTGTTCCTCTGCCAGAGCCCTTTCCTCTTGGGCCCGTCTCTCTGATTCGGCTCTCTCCTCTGACATGCTAGGACCTCACAGGTGCATATATAACTGTATACATGAAACACACAGACTCTGCGACACACGTACACGATCATTATATAGTGGTATACATCTAAGGTGAAGCCAATGCGCCTTCCTGGCCACCTTGAGCAGCCTCGTCAGCTGCAGAAGCATCCTGCGGATGCATTTAATTGTTGGACTATTCTATTATAGGGCTCTTAGGGTTTATAGGGTTTATCGGGTTTACGAAGGTTAATGATCCAAGCGTGTCCCAGAAGGTTGCCTCATAAGTATATCGATCCTAATTAAATATATGTATATATATATATAATATCATAGGATCTAGATAGGGTGTTTTACCACGGCTTCAGTTCCCTGTCGGGGGTTATTGTGGGTTATATATTAGAGGCCAACTTCATACTGCGATTGGGGGACTCGATCTGGGTTCAGTGTCTTACTATAAGCCTATATTATATAGGGATGGCGGTTTAGGATCGGAGACCGGTCACACCTCCATGCATGCCATGTATATAATATAAACTACTTAATGTATATACTATATATATATATATATAATACATATATCGCATGCTATCCTTTGCTATAATAGCAAACGATAGCATGCGATATATGTATTATATAAATTAATGCAGCATGCATGATCACATGATTTAAATTTCACATGTGCATGTGTGTGATCAGGATCAATTTTGTTTATGATGTTAACATATAGATTAATATTACACAGATATATGTGCATATTGTGTGTGCATGTGTGTGGGTACGTGCATGTGCGTGCGTGCGTGCGTGCGTGCATGCGTGTGCCAAGTGTGTGCGTGGTTTTATTTGTGCGGGCTTTACATGATATGGATCGAACGATCGAACACAAGATGTATATGTCTCAATCCTCCGGAACCCCTTCGAACCCTATCTGAATTGTGTGCAACACCATCCAAGGATTGGCCTTCGCTTCTTTCAGGAGGGCGTGCTTCTTCTTCAGAATCTGAGCAGTGCATATATGGTTTTCGTTGTTTCTCTTAAGGGCGTTGTCTTGTATAGGGGTAATTATAGCCGCCCTAGCCTCGATTTGCTTCAAGATCTCTCGCTCGTCGCCATCATCTTCGGTCTTTATTACACCATGCGTGGAGACACCTAAGAGGATATCGGCACCCCGATCCAGGCTTTCCCTGGACTGGCCGACGGTACTAGTAGACCTGGCAGGCTCCATTTTGGGAGCTGTTTCGGGCCAATCCAAGCCTGCTGGAACACACGTCGAGGGGCTCTGCAAATGGGTCTGGAAGTGCTGTCCGCCAATTTCCGGCATTTGCCCGGCAGTTTCCGCCATCTCGCCGCCCGTTTCCGCTACTGTTTCGGGGCCCTATTTCCCGCACCAGTGCCTGTTGAAGCCCGAAATTTCAAAATCGAGCCCCAATATCATGAAATCCGGCTCCCAGCCAAGCCCTGTCTAGATATTTAGCGTGGGTTGAGGAACCTGGTAAAGCAACGATTGGTCTCGAGTTATGGGGCTATAAGTTACTCACTGATCACAGATCCTGGTGCGGAAACAGGAAAGGCAGGTCCCGAGGAAAACGAAACTTGTCTATCAAAGACTTGAACTCCCGGGGAACCTTTACATGCTTCGCTGTTCTCATGTACAACACAGCCTGGCCCAAATTAGCTTCTTCCCAATCTGTAGCATCCCAGGACAGGTTGCCAAACACCTGGTGGAGAGGCGTGCCGGAGTTCGGGTCCGCCACCTGCAGCAGCTGGGCTTGATGGTGCTTTGTGGGGGTATACTACTATTCATTTATAAATGTGATGCACTGCATCACGGTTGGCGCCTGCAAAGACTGTACTGGCAGTGCTCGGCAGGGCTCGATCATTTCCACCATCTTTCGGGCGAAGAGAGGAGGGTAGATCCTGAAGCTATAGTTTCCCACGGCTTCTATAGGTAAATTTGGTTTTACCATTATAGGGCATGTTATGTTATATAAGCCTAGCAGCCCACTTGCTTTGAGGTCACCGGTGCCGTGCCATTTCTTTCTTCCAAGAGCATCTGTATATTTCCGGCTGAGTTTCTTAGTTGCCACACGTTCAGAACCCTGGGGCCGTCCACAGTCGAAGATGCGAATGTAGGGCGATGTGGACCACAGCAATGACTTCTTTGGGTTTGGGTGTCCGTGGTGGCACATGTAGAACTTCTGGATGTATACCTTACAAGCAGCAACTATATAGGCCTGCGAAACCTACCATCCTGTGATTGCGAAATGCAGAAACTGCCTTCTAAGACCAGTTGCAGGAACACCATGATTCTTCAGAACAGAACACAGCCAAGTAAACCTTGGGAAGTGGCCCAGCACCGAGCTCCCCGGGTTCTCCACGAAGAAGTGGTGGCCCAAAACGGACAGGAGGAGCAACAGCAGGCAGGTCCTGGGAGTGAATAGTTTCAGGCCTGTATAAATAAATAAATATATATATATATATATATATATATATATATATATAGGTTGTGAGTATATATATATATATAGGGCGGGGTTTAGATTTAATTAGAATTCAGGGGTTTAGGAAAGCTAGGGTATTTAAGTGTATTTACATAAGAATTTAAACACGATGGAGAATTCGAGGTAGCTTGCGGCGGCTCTTCCTCTCTCTCTCCCTCTCTCTCTCTCTCGCTCGTTTCCTTCTCTCTTCCGCTCTCTCTCTCTCTCTCTCTCTCTCTCTCTCTCTCTCTCTCTCTCTCTCTCTCTCTCTCTCTCTCTCTCTCTCTCTCTCTCTCTCTCTCTCACTCTGTGTCTGCTTCCTTAACCTGCGTCCCGTTTTTCGCGCTCTCTCTCTCTCTCTCTCTCTCTCTCTCTCTCTCTCTCTCTCTCTCTCTCTCTCTCTCTCTCTCTCTCTCTCTTTCTCTCTCTGTCTGTCTTAGCGTGATATACTTCATATTTGTATATATATATATATATCTTAATTATGTTTTTTGTATATATATATATATATACGGGAAGAACTGAGACCGAAAGCCCCGAAGAACGAAAGCATTGTCCTGGATGTTGCCTCGTTTGCCTCACAGACCGACTCAACCTCCAGATCCCCCCATGGCAGTAGCTCGGACCTCTTACTGGTGCCACGGTTTATCTGCACGAACGTGCTGCATTCCACACCGAGGACAGCGATCGCCTTCTGGGGAGAGCCGCTGAGAATCATGAGGACGGCCAGCCTTGGCTGCATGCATTACATTATAATAATATATGTGTGCACATGCATGCATGGTGCAGATCATATATGTGTAGCTTGGGAACACGAAGCCAGAGCTCTCGTTCAAGTGGAGGGACGAAATCTCATGAGGATCGTACTTTTGATCGGCAGCTACAGCTGTGTAACCTGCAGCCTTGGCCATCCTAGAGATCCGTGCCCGACCTGCAAAGAGTTCTATGACATCAAAAGTCTCATTGCAGAATGGCGGTTTCGGATCCAGCCAATATGCCAGGAGGATGACGGCCACAAATGCCTGGGCTGGCTCGGTGTGGAGAGGGGGGTCTTGGTTGCACCTTTCGAACTCAGTGTGCCTCCCTAAACCTAGATAAACCCGAGATTATATATAAAACCCTACATAAACTTTTATGAACCCAATCCTGCAATCCAGTAACCTTCGGGGCTCCGAGGGTGATCAGCTTTCGGACACAGGCATCCAAAGTGGCTTGGTCAATCATTGCTGGCCAGCACGGAATCGCACCCGAAACTCTTCGTTGCTGTTGCAGCCCATATCCATGCGTACACGTTGCACTGAAAACATGCATCGACGGTGACTCGAGTCGTATAATTACAGCGGATGTGTGCAGCATGCAGTGGGGCCTTCTGCGTGCTTGAGTTCCGGCTTCTGATCGAGCAACCCATGCAGCCCCAGGAGGGTTTCTGGGTTTTGAGGCTTTAGGGTTTCGGATCTTTTGGGGCAATAGAAAGTTCAAGGCTTTGGGTTCAAAGGGTTTAGGGAGGTAGATGGGCCCAGGCAAGGGTGTTTGTGGTGCTGTATATGGGATATATTATCTAGTATATCATAATATATATAATAGGGCAGTCCTGGCCTTTCAGGGTTTAGGTCGGGACCGATCGGAATTCACCAGCAGGGGCTTCTAGAGGAGCTCGAAGTGGGATTGGGGATGCTAGCGTTACACCCTCCAAGGGTGTGTGTGCATGTGTGTGTGTGAATCGAGTAAATATAGAATGCAAATATATTATGATTATAGTGTATTATAAGATTCAGTTTGCTTATTTACTCGACTCACACACACACACACGTGCACACACACACACACACATGCACACACCCTTTCTTATTATAGTTCGCGAATATATATATATATATATATACAGTGTATAGTAAACTACGAATATATATGCATGTGTACAGTGTACACATGCATATATATTCGTATACACCCCGAGTATGGAGCCCATTATATATATATATATACCACACAAGTAGATCGGCTGTGGTAACATATATTATATTATATATATATATATATATATATTCTAATATATATATATATATATATATAATATTATATATATATATAATATATGTTACCACAGCCGATCTACCTGTGTGGTTTAGCGTGCATACCCTGACTATCTTAATCTCTCGACTCTCTTTCCCCACATAATCTTAAGCCCCTATATCGATCTGAACCCTGAACCGAAGCTAAAGAGAAAGGCCCACCAAAGTGATCCAATCAAGCCCCTTATTGGATTTGGGACAGCCCCCTAAACCCAATATGAAGCCCCCTAGATAAGGATCTCAAGCACCGAAAGCCCAGCAATGCAAGCGAGCCGGGTACAACTTTCATCCAAGGCTTCTGCCACCAGCCCGCGTCGGGCCAAGAAGGCTTGTCCAGGTCGCATCGAGCCTCGGCAAAAAGAGTGGATTAACTCACCATAGTTATATAAGTTAATTTGGCAGATATATGCATACAGCATGCCACATAGCAGACTTCACGGGCACCGATGTTTTTTGTTCTCCAGTTGGCTGCGATGCTTGCTTAAGATAAGACGGGCCCCCACATGCAACAGCTACTCCCACACTCTGCCGCCCGAGCACAAGTTGCTGCAGGATCGGATATGGCTAGCGTGAGCACAGCAGATCTAATTTACAGAAACTTCGGCACAACGAACAACCATTCTATGGCCATTCGTGCCCTTCCCCAGTCAGCCCGACTCCTCGGGAGTCGAAACTCGCAGGTACTCCTGTGCAGCCTTCTTCGCCACCTTCATGCATGCCTCAAGGCTCGCCTTCTTGACCATCCGCGGCTTGGCCAGCATCCAGAATTCGTCCTGTTCAGATACTCTAGAACAGCAGCTGCACAAAGAGATGCATGAATACATCATGTCAGCATGAGATTGACTGTCCTGGTGTCCAGCACTGTACTTCGGAGCCAGCTCGGCATTGTAGACATCCCTAATGGCTGTCCAGTGATTCAAGCTGCTGCTTGTCTTGGGCTTAGCACGTCTTGCAAAGCTCTTGTCGTCATCACTGTGCCTCTTTCGCTTCCTGACATCAGCAACCTCATCTGCTGGGGCAGCCTTTGGGGGCTTATCGGATTTGCTGGCCTTGGCTGATGACTTGGGCTTCCGATTGCATGCTTTAGCTTTGGCCTTCGGGGATGCTTTCGGCTTTGGCTTGCTCGGGGAATCCTTGCTGGGAGAGGCTTTCGATGGCGATGCCAGGGCAGCCTTCGCTTTCGCTTTTGCTTTCGGGGCTTGCTTTGAAGTCTTTGAGGGCGGGGATGCTTTGGTAGGGGTCTCGTTGGCTTCGTCATCCATTCGGGCAGCACCGGCTTTCGGCTTCGGCGATGGGGTCTTCAGATCAACATCTGAGGTGGCACCACAGCGGCCTCTGCCGCGACCTTTGCCGCGGCCGCCTGGCTTGGATGCTTTGCCACGTCCCTTGCCGCGTCCCTTGCCTGCACCTTTCTTGGCACCTCGACCGCGGCCACCACCACGGCCTCGGCCCCTCTTAGGCTTAGGCTCCTCCTCTTCCTCATCCTCTAAAGCCCCATGGCCCACAACCTTCTCAGACATAGCGTGCTGGTTGATGCGCGAAGGAATGCCCTGAACGAGAGACGACAATACAATCTCAGATCAGCCAAGGTCTCAATTTGAATTCAGCAGCTAGACCCACCATCTAAAGACAAGCTACCTTGTAAGCAAGCACATCGAACTCATCCTCACACTTCTCGGTCGCAGCCTTCTCGCACTCCGCCCCCGGATTGTAACCTGGTTCAATCGTAGGCGTAGCATGGGCAGCTGGGGCTTCAGAAGGTTCCGTAGGTCCAGTCTTAACCAGCTCGGGCTCCGGAAGAACAGCAGGGGCTTCCAAAGGTTCTGTGGGTCCAGTCTCAACCAGCTCGGGCTCCGGAACGATAGCAGGGGCTTCCAAGGGTTCCTCGCCCAGCTCGGGCAAGGGAAGTGGCTCCTGCCAAGCTAACATGCAAGATAAACACCACCGTAGTTCAAGCTGCACATGCAATCAGCTAATGGCTGTCATGTCCTCGTCCAAACTCAAGGAAACACCATCATCGATTTCATCATCACTGATATCGATGCATCCTGCCGTCTCATCAAAGGACACTGACATAATGTCAAAGGGGACCGTGTCGGTGGCATCAGGGGCTGCTGGCCGGGCACCTAAGATGGAATTAAGCAGATACAAATTGATTGTTCAAGTGCATCCGCTGTCAATCGTACATGGCAAGACAAGATACGATTTGCTCGCAGACGTCGGTGGTCTTCTAAGTGATTCCTGAGTTTGGGAAACTGGCAATGGAGATTGCATGCTATTGTTTATATAAACCTTGGAACAATATGCTGCAACAGAGCTGCTCTAGAATCTGCAGTTGCTGCTGCAGTGCACTGAGCTCAGCATCCAAGGGATCCTCCGCTCCTGCAGCTGCCCCGCCTACTGGACCTGGTCCATCGGCAGCAGGATAAGCATCTTCAACAGCAAGAAGATCATCATCATCAGGCATCTCGCCCTCGGGGTCTGGTTCTGCATCCTCACCCCAAGCCGCTGTCATCACATCAAACAGGACATGAAGGGAGCGATCCTTGATTCTGATGCATGCAGTAGATCGAGGTTAAGACAATCATGCTGCACATGCGTACTCTATGATCATCCATTAACAAGGCGCTCGGAGGGACCCGATGGGAGCCTTCCAGCGCCTCATAGCCAGGGTGGCCAGCCTCTTGATGCCCCAGCTGTCCACGTAGACAGCCACAGTCTTGGCATTGCCACCACCACTCAGCAGCCGGTGCGCTTCCGAAACCTGGGCTAGCTTGGGAAAGGCTTTATAATGAATTAGGCTAAATTCTTGATTTCGCTGAGCACATATGCAGCTTAATATCCGATGAAGACAAGTAGCTTCCTGCTTCAACCAGTCGATAGACATTGTCTTAGGCACTGAGGAAGACCCACTCCAGATCTCTAGAGCAATACAGATCACATCCACATTCAAAGACAATGCTTTCAGGGATGCAACACCAACCAGTTGTGGCTTCAGCCATTTCAGCAAATTCCCCTTATTCTCGCGGAAGAGGGCTCTCACCACGTTGCTCGATTCGAAAGCCTCAGCAAGACTTCCCTTAGTTGGCCAGGCTGGCCCACTGCGTGCCCTGCGGACACGGACAGGCACTTCGATCGCTTCCTCGTCAGCCATGCTTTATTAAAGCACTGTACAGAGCCCTGCAGCCCAAATCCTGCGAAATCCACAAATAGTTTCATCCACAACCAGCCATGAGCGAACTTCAAGGATAGCTTTGATCTGAGCAAATGACCAGCGCAGCTCGGAATCGTCAAGCCATTCCTGGGCCCAAGTATAGGTTTCATTCGGGATATATATATATATATATATATATAGATGGCATAAATGCGTTCAAAGACATGGGCCCCCACCCATATGTGTGGATCAGGATGAACAGCAAAATGATCCTGCATGCAGGATCATGCAGGTATATTACCCAATATACTGTACGTAGAACAGGATGATCATAATGCCCGGGCCTTCGCAAAATCGATGTGCCAGGCAGCGGTGGCCAGGGCATACAGGACCTGCGTTGGCGCAGGCGTAGCATCAGGATGGAAAAAAGACCGATCAAGCTCTGCAACTGCAGCTGGCAAATCCGATGACACCCATTTTCCCAATCCCCACAACACAGGATCCCTGCAGTGCTCGATCGCTCGTGCCCACTGCATCAGCCTGCTTGTTTCTAAAGCCCATTGCTACGATTGCTTATGCAGAACACAGCTTTCACTGATCATCTGGAAGCTGGTCGCCCGTCAGAAAGTCACCTCCGGATTGCTTCGAAGCTAAAGCTCAAATTTTAGGAAGTGTGCTTGCACCAGCGCAACAGCCTTGCCCAGCATCAAACAGATCGGCGAAGTGTTTGCAGATGCCATCCACTTGTATATTCATCACGACATCGATTAGCACCTGGTCGGCCGAGCGTAGCTCCTCCCAATGATTGGCTATATCTCGGTTCGGTTGAATTGAACCCCAGAATGAATTAAGCAATGCAAGTCACTCCTGGGGATTGGCGTACAATGCCTCCACTGCAGCATTCCAGAAAGCATCTGGCTTTGCCATAAGTCCTCGAAAACGAGAATGCAACCTTAAGCAGAAACCCACAGCACAGCTGAAGACTAGATGGAGGTGGTGTCCTGCTTTGTGTGCAAGGGTCACTCCTACCGGCGAGCATTCGGTCAGCACTTTCGCTGCCATCGTAAAAAACCCACCAAACCTAGGCTTTCCCTTTGCTTTGAGCAATCGATGCTACAACGATTGCAGCTACAATCTTCAAAGGCCACAGCATCAAGATGCAACGTTCATGCAAGGCCCATGTTTGCAAGGCGGGGGGCTGACCTCGAGAGGCCAAGCGTGGAAGCCCCACAGGGCTACCCAAAGAAGAAAGCACAGCTGAGGATCGCCCAAGCATGTGGCAACCACATGCCACTTCTTAATCGAGCTTACAATCTGAATATCAACCCGACATAAACCTTACCCGAAGCTCACTCAAACACCTTAAAACACCTCTAAAAGCCAATAAAGGTAATATTACGTTTTTTGGGCGTTCTAAGCCTATAACCATTTATTCTGAAATGCATGGTTTTTCTTGATGGTTTGGTTGTCAAGGTATAGGTATAACCCTAAACCCCAAACGCTGAACCCCAGGCCGAACGCCTGAAAAAAAAGATGCTGCCAGCCGGAGCAGGCTGCCTCACGGCGTCGCCAAGGCCCGTCTCCTCCTTTGAGGACATCTGCGGATTTCAGGAAAGAGAAACGATAAATAGGGCTGATGATATAAATCCTGCATTACCTTAATGACCCTAGACTACGGCAATTATGGTATATTCCTTATTATGGCTAATGCAGGATTTGTCTCATCCACCGTAGGGTTTAGGGCGTAGGGAGCCCGGCGGGCCCCGTTTCAAAGGACTTACTTCGCAGGTGTTGCATTAGGATCTCGTGTCTTCTGATAAAATGTGGGTACCATGAGAGCTTTAATAATTGCGTAACCTGTTTTGGGGCGGTTTAGGGTTTATAGGGTTTGGGGCTTCCTCATTAAAGTTATAGTACAATGGGCCCCAAAGCCCTATTCTAATTTTTAAGGCCCCTGTATTACCCCAAACGGATGGTGAACGTAAGAGCGAAACATTTCAAACAGCTATCAGGTATTGACATACCATAACCGCAACAAGCTTGATGTGTGTATGAATCCGTCAAACATGCATCATACATACATGCATACATACATACACAATGTACATGTAGTTATGTAACATGTCACATGCTTCAGCTCAAGCTGACATGGAAGGTTTTTTTGTGTTGCGTGAGATACTAGGACCCAGAGTAGGCCCTTATTCCCTTTTTTGAGGCTTAGGTTCCCTTATAAACCCCTTTAAACCAAAAAGGGCACCGTTTTTTTTTCCTAGGTTACTCTTAGGTCTAGGATAGCTTGGGGTTCGAGCAGAGACTTGGAGTGAGCGATCGATCAAGCTGCGCATTCGTTGCAAGCTAGAAAGGCAGAGGCTAAGAGTTCCACAGCCTTTCCCCAAAGGGCGCTAGGTCCCTAGGTATTGTTATGGGGAATACTTCCCCAGATCATAGTAGTAACTCCGTATATAGACACCCTACAGTCTACGCTATCTCTATCTATATATATATATATATGTATGTATATGTGTATATATATACATACATACCTACATACATATATATATATGTATGTATATAGTTACGTTGGACCTTTTTGGTTCCGGACAAGCAAAACTTCATGCTGCAAGATGGGCCTTTGAGACAATACAGTAAGAATACACAACCGCCTGGATAGAACTGTTCCAAACTAAGTCCCGGTAGCAGCAACAGCTTTTCTTGCCGCAGACAGGCCCTGTAACCTCAAACTCAAGACAGTTCAAGAGCCTTATACTTGGGTTTGGAGTACCATACTTGCATATTTGTTTTTTGTTGGTACCTGTTGCTTAAAGGAGCCATTATGACATGAAAGTCGATACGTTTTTCCTCCCTGGGATGCTTCAAAGTCCAGTTATGCAACAGAGGCATGGGGCCCGATAGCCGTAAGACGTGAGTGCCCAGAGCCTTTGAGATCAAGCGTGACCCCCAGGCGCCTCCTACCCATAAAACGTGTACTCGTAGGCCCTATTATAAGTACCGATGTAGGAACCAATTCAAGGCATAAGTTTATACTATATATACTATATTATATATAGTATATATACTATATATACTATATATACTATATATACTATATTTACTATATATACTATATATATATATATATATATATATATACTATATATACTATATATACTACATATACTATATATACTATATATACTATATATACTATATATACTATATATGCTATATATGCTATATATATATATACTGTATATACTATATATACTATATTTACTATATATACTATATGTGCTATATATACTATATATACTATATATACTATATATACTGTATATATATATAGATATGTATATATATATATATACTATTTATATATTTTATAGACTATATATACTATATATACTACATGTACTATATATACTATATATACTATATATACTATATATACGATATATACTATATATATATATCATAATATATCATAATATATATATATATATATATATATTATGTACTATATAGACTATATATATAGATATATATATATACTATATATATACACACACTATATACCCTGTACTGTATACAATCTACCATATACTATGTACTATATACTTATGCATTCGATTTACTATATTCTATATTACATACTATCTAGGTCCATGGTGCCTTACCGGGAAAAAGCCCTGAAGGAGCTCGGGGTCTTGCCGCAGTATGCCATCGATAGCTTGAGAGCTTGGCAGCGGAACTGCAATTCAAAGGGGAAGAGGAGGGTCTTAGGGTTCCTGTAAAGGGATCTATGAGGGTCCCTTTAAAGGGATCTATAAGGGTCCCTTTAAAGGGATCCATAAGTCCCTTTAAAGGGATCTATAGGGTTTAGCGTTTAGGGTTTAGTTTAATCAAAGGGGAAAAGGAGGGACCCTTAACCCATTCCAGACCCCTCTAAAGGAACCCTATTCTAACTATGAAGGCACCTATATTCAAGCCCCCATAATGCCCCTTGGGACCCCTTTTAAGAAGCCTACAAAGGAACCCTATTCTCAAAGGGAAAAGGAGGGACCCTGAATGGGGACCTCCCTACCCTATAATGGGCTATATAATGGGTATATACTAGCTATGTTAAGGGTATATACCTAGGGTTCCTTAAAAGGGATCTACAAGGGTTTCTTTCAAAAGGATGTATAAGGGTTTCCTGTAAAGGGATCTACAAGGGTTTCCTTTACGGGATCTGTAAAGGTTTCCCTTGAAGGGATCTTATAAGGGTTCCTTTGAAGGGATCTGTAAGGGTTCCTGTAAAGGGACCTATAAGGGTTCTATAAAGGGTTCCTTTAAAGGGATCGATAAGGGTTCTATAACGGGGTTTAGGGTTTAGGGGTTTAGGGGTGTGGGGGTTTGGGGTTTACGGGTTTAAGCGTTCTGGGGGTTTCAGGGCGAGGATTGCTACAAGTAGGGTTATCTTTGACTCGACTTCGGATGGTCTGAGGAGTTGCTCTTTTTAGGGTTTCGCTCTTTGTCGGAACCGCTCCTGAAAGCTCATGGTCAGTGAGGGCTTGGTCGTGAATACCGGTCAGGGTTTAGGGAAGGACTGTTGGAGTGCCACTTGGGAATAAGTAACCTTCCTTTTGATGTTTGAGGGTTCACAAGTCGGTTTAGGTATGGTTGTCTTTGGGCTTAGATGGGGCTGCGGGTAGTCTACACTCAGCTGCTACTTAGATTCCTTGAGGCACAGAGTTCGGCAGCACGGGCTTCAACGGGGCCCGCATAGGAAGCCTACATGGTGGGGTTACGTCCTAATGCTCCTCAAGTCTTGCCCTATCGGGACCCAACAGAGTTCACCCTCAGCCCCTAGTATAGGGGCTTCAAGAATTACCTATACTAGTTTGGGGGGGCCGGCGGCTCTTGCTTCTCGGGGCCTTATCAATCAAGATATATATATGTAGTTAGGAACGTATATATTGTGTGATGGGCTTTCGAAGCTTCTGGGCAACTTGAATCGCTTGTTTTCACGAAAAACCCGAGCGGCTGCTCCAAGGCTGTCGCATCTCTTATCCATGGAATCTCATGCTGAGATTACGGCAGAATGCACCCATGTTCCACTACCATGATCGTGAGAGATCCTTCATGCTCAATCCCACACGCTAACATAGCGGACTTGTTAATTGGGTATTTATGTTCCATGATGGTTTTAGCATAGAGCTATTGAGGGACTTTCAGGCAAGAATATTACTCCTGATTCCGACCCCTATATTAAGCGCCACCTATCAAGCAAGATCATTTCCTGAAGGCTCATATAAAAGGATGTAAACCCAAACCCCCTACATGATCCATACAAGCCCTACAACAAGTCCAAGAGACTAAAGAGCGAACACTTCTACCCACGAGTCTTTCAAAAGCCGCGAAGGACAGAGCCGAAAGCCCCGAAATCGCGTATATAAATCTGAACAATCTGCAAACCTCAAAGCCAAAATTCTCAAAGAATCCAAACCTTTCACTAACAGTCCCGGCCGAATCCCAAACTCTGAACGCTAAACCCCAAACTCTGAATCCGAAACCCTACCTGAATCCACAACAGCCTACCTTCTTTAGGCTCCTTCTTCTGACTTCCCTGCACAAGTCCTGAAAAGGCTAAACCCTAAAGCCCTAAACCCTGAATCCGAAAGCCGAAGCCCGAGGAGTATCACCGCACCCATGCCCGTTCAGGCGCAGGCCTCTCGTCAGGGTTTAGGGTTTATGGAAACTGTTAGGGTTTCAGCTTCAAGCCAACACCGGAGGGGGATGTACTATTATGATTATTCTTTTTGTTATTATTGAAATCTAGGGGTTTGGATGCCAGTTAGTTTTGACCGACACGTTATGAGCAGGTTTTCGCTTTGAGATGTGATCTTGAATTTGGGGTTGGGCTGGGGATTGGGGCTGGGAGGTGTAGCTGATTTCGGGCTGGGGCTGGAGCGGGTTCCATGTTTGGGTGGTTTGGCGAGTTCAGGGAGCCATGCAATTTCTTTTTTATTTCTTTCTCCAGGGTTTGGGGTTCAGGGTTTAGGGTGTATGATGATCCTTACCGCCGTCATCACAAAACAGCGGGACAGGGAGCCTGAATGATTTGTTAGAGAACTGCCTCTATAGCCCCTACAATTAACTAATGTTCCCTGCTCTAGAATTGTACATAATTTTTGCCTTGTCACCGGCATAATTACTCACCACAACAACACCCTTTGCTCCTCGTCACTCTTGGGCCGCCGTATGAGCTTCACTCACCGGCTTCGGAACCTGGGTGCAGGGTTTTGGGAGCTGACCTGATTTCCGGGTGCCAGCGATCGATGGTTGCAGGCTTCTGGAAATCCTTACCTCTGGTTAGTAGGGAATGGTAGTGGTAGTGGTAGTAGTAGTAGTAGTAGTAGTAGTAGTAGTAGTAGTAGTAGTAGTAGTAGTAGTAGTAGTAGTAGTAGTAGTAGTAGTAGTTATTGTACCCCATTCCTCCATTCCCTACTAACCAAAGGTAAGGATTTACAGCTTCTGGTCATTCGTCGCTTGCAGCCGCAGGGTCGAGTCCCAGAAGCTCTGGTATCAGCTGGGTAGTTGTCAAAATAAGGGTCCCATTTTGGGCACCCTAAATAATAGGTGCCGTATTGTAATAGGGACCCAGAAAGGGACCATAATTTTGACAACTACCCACATGCCTGTGTATTTACACGGATGTGCCTTTCTCCGTGCATCTGTGTACTTCAAAGATTGAAGAAGTGGCTAGAAACACTCCAGTATCGCACGTGAGTTTTTGTTGGTCTGAAAGAAGGGCGAAGCCGTCATACTCAACAGATCCCTAGCTATGTCGATTTAAAGCTAAAGCCTCTTTGCGTGCTTCTTTGAGACGAGAAGATAGGCAATACTTCCCGCGAGCTTTCTTCAAAACACTAGCGCGAAGCTTTGATGTTACTGCAAACAAACCGCCACGGGCACTAATACTTCTACTGCCCCCACCAGCAGCAACCTAGTAGTAGAGTAGGGAACCTTTAACCTTTTTTGGGAAGTATAGTCCCTAGATAATGCCTATATTACCAAAAAGGTTAACCTTTAGTTCCCCCTGATACCCGACAAGTAGGGCAACAATGTCAAAGAATGCCAGCGAGAGTCCCTAGAGTCGCCGCGCGGGCCGCGGGACCCTGTTCCAACAAGCTCCAAGCTTCGACGTATCCCGCGAATCCATAACTTTGAGTCTAACCCCTACAAAAACGCTGTTGTAGAACCCCCCGAAACAATTCCTCAAAATTGAATCTAAGCCCTACAAAACCCTGTTGTAGAGCCCCAAAAATTCCCGCCAGGCTCTTCCACTGGCTATGGCCGGCTGCAACCTGGTGGGCATCGCCCAGACAGGCATTGATGCTTTGCTGCTGAGTGTCCCTTTAGTAGGATGCTGGGGTATATAGTATGGTTGTGGTTGGTTAGCAACGTACTATTTAGGTAACTGGAGCCCTAGAGTTAGAGTGTGCGAAGGGTGGAACAATCGCTACTATTATTGCTCACCCGCCCGGGCTTGCAGGGAGTAGTACTTAGGAGGTTTTGCGCCGATCGCCAGCAAGTGTGCATCAACGGCCTGGCAATGGCTCGACATGCCAAAAAAGCTGCTGCCGAGTCTGTCACGAACACGCTGCGAAGCGAGCCTCCTCCAGCAGTGGCTCAGCTTGGTGTTCCAGCTGTTTCTTGTGGATCGTCCTTCTGTATTTCTGTTATGTCTCCTGCTTCTGCGATGACGACGACTTCTGCTGCAGCTACTGCTCCTCCTCCTCCTCCTCTTCCTCCTGCTCTCGTACCACGACGACGACTACTACTGCTACTACTACTACGACGACTACTACTGCTGCTGCTTCTGCTGCTGCCTCTACTGCTGCTGCTGCTGCCGCTGCTGCTGCTGCTGTCGCTGCCGCTGTTGCTACTGCTGCTAGTACTGCCACTGCTCCTGCTGCTGATGCTACTCCCGCTACCACTACAGCTACGTTGTTGGTACGGATCCTGTTGCAGGCAGTGGCAAGACCCTGTCATACCTGCTGCCTGCGATCGTGCAAATAGAGGCGCGTCGGGTAACATGGGGCCTTTGCAAAATGCAAAGCGAAGTAGTGCTGGAAAATGAGTGTTGATGGAGCCAGTGACGGTACTGACAATCCTTTCCTCTAGTGAGAGCACAGTTTCCACGAATACAGAACTTTAGTCGCCTCTCCATCGTTGAGCGCCTTAATATTCGGAACTTTCAGATCCATATCCTTCAACTTTCGTGGGGAAAACCAACCTGCTTGAGCCCTGCGATCCTCCAGGTAGATGCTTGTCGATGCTTATCGCACAATGCCCTAGTGTATGTATAGAAGATCAGGACTCTGTGACCCGAACACCCAGGACCCACTGCTTGCTTGGCGCGTCCCGAAGCCAAATCCAAAAGCCATGAACCCAACAAGACTCCAAATTGCCGAGGCCTTAACCAGGCACCAAAACAGAACCCAAACATAAACGTTTGGTTGGGAGATCCCAACCTTATTAGCTTACTTCAAGAGGGGATTCTGGGACATCCCAACCTTGTGGTGTTTGTTTAGGTGCCTTTTCGGGTCCCTACTTAAACTCCTTCACAGCGACACATCGAAGCCCATCACTGAATTCCTGATTCCTCATTTCTCATTGAGCTTCGGTTGTCAGGCGCAGGAACCTGTTCCCAAAGGCTCCGTGCAGCCAATCGCGCTCCTTGCCATCTTGTACGGCTCATAGCAGTAGTAGTGGTAGTAGTAGTAGTAGTAGTAGCAGGAGTAGTAGTAGTAGTAGTAGTAGTAGTAGTAGTAGTAGTAGTAGTAGTAGTAGTAGTAGTAGTAGTAGTGGTAGTGGTAGTGGTAGTGGTAGTGGTAGTAGTAGTAGTAGTAGTAGTAGTAGTAGTAATAATTAGTAGTAGGAGTAGTAGTAGTAGTAGTAGTAGTAGTAGTAGTAGTAGTAGTACTGTGGATGGAGGAAATCTTGCACCACTTTTAAGATGTGTTATTTAGCTTCACCCGGCGCCCCCTTCTTAACATTGCTATGAACACGGGGATTTACAAAATCGTTCCAATGACATAAATCTTGCACCGCCCCAAGAGGTCTGTCGTCAATGTTAAGAAGGGGGCGCGGGGTTGTTGCTTGGATGTGTACTCGAAACAAGGTGTGTAGGTGGTGCAAGATTTCCTCCATCCACCGTAGTAGTATAGTAGTAGCAGCAGTAGTAGTAGTCGTCGTCGTGGTCGCTTATATGAGATCACAGTTGCGTAGGGTGCAAGTTGATATTGGGTTGGAGGTTAAGTAATACCAGGGGGAAACAAGTCATCACCCGAAGCTAGCTGAAGTGAGTTTATGCTTGCATGTCCACGGTGAGAAACGGAATGTGTTCGTCAAAGTCATGTCGCAGCGCAAGACACCTGTTGGCAGTGTTCCTAAACCCTACTCACAAACCCCGAGCCCCACAGCTCTAATCCTGCATCGAAGGTTGATCCTAGCACCCACACGAGAGCTCGCGGTGCAGATCACAGAGGAGCAGCTTAAGTAAGTCGATTTTCTGAAGTTGTTGCAAGGGTCTGTCGTTTCGGACTCCACGGCTTAATTCTAAGGGTGTTTTGCACGGGAGTTCGTTTTATTCACACTGAAAAATCCCACGGGATGCCGGATGGTGGAGTTACTTAAAGGATCATGGGACTTAGTAATTACGGTTCTTATTAAGGTAACTATACTTAGAACCCCTTAATTAAGGTATTTTCAACCATATGTACTAAGTCCCATGATCCTCGAAGTACTAAGAAAGCATCCAGGTCGTTGACGGTTGTGTCTTAGGGTTTTGGGTGCTTAGGGTCTTGGGAATTAAATGAGGCCCTAGCATAAGCCCTCCAGTTGACTCTGTAGCTCAAAACCAGTGCGGCATTTAGTGTTGGACTGCTTTGAACCACGCCGCCATAATTTCCAACTCTTACCATCCACAGGCAGAAACCTGCTTCTGCGCGGTCGCCTGATGAAGCAAAACTTGTGAACTCTAGAGTCTACCCTCCAAGTCTGTTACAAGTCTATAAACCCTAACCCCTGCAACTCTTTCAGTCTACGACCCCTAAGCCTGACTGCTCTAAAAGTCTACTTGAAGGCTCATGGGACTTAGTAAGTAAGGTTATAAGTAGGTTATAATAATTAGGATAACCCCACTTAGGGGACTTATAACCCCAATTATAACCTACTTACTAAGTCCCATGATCCTCCAAGTAGCCCCTACTTATATAACTCCAGGAGTCAATACCTCTAAACCCTAACCTCGAACACCCTAACCGTTCCAGAAGCTCATGCCAGCCCTACCTCAACCCCCAAACCAAGCCCTAAGCTAAAGCCCCTAAAATCCAATTAAAATCCATAATGTAAGCAACGAATCCAATGAAGATTCGAGCCCCATAACAAAATGTCACTTGGGTATAGTTGGGTAACATTTTATATCTTTAAGGGTACTTAAACCCAATAAAGGAATAAACAGGTTCAGGTACCGGTTTAATCCTTTCTAGGTTCTGCGACCCGGGCCCGAAGCGTCACATTAACATAGCTGTTTAGGGTTTAGGGTTTAGGGTTTTGGGGGTTTAGGGGGTTTAGGGTTTAGGGTTTAGGCTTTAACGCTCTCGTGATTACTCTGCCTAGCCGCAAACCCCTTACCTCCCCAAACCCGAGACCCCTACACCCGAAACACCCAACGCACCAGCACCCTAAGCTCTAAACCGCAGGTCAATACATCAAAGATAAACCCGAAACCCTAAACCGCATAAACGCGCGATATGGGAGTTTCCGAAAATAGGGGACCCTAATCTAGTACCCTAAATAGTAGGTCCTTGCTATAACGATTCCCAAAATGAGGTACCCCTGAGTTTCGGAAACTCCCATATTGAGCTGACAAGAAGCATGGATCGGAAGGCCAGTGCTGTCGACTACCATTTTCTTTGCCCTCCAAGTCTGAAGTCTTAAATCCTAAACCCTTAAACCCTGAAACATTCAGTGGAAAAAGGCGTTCAACACACAGAAAACCGTAAACCCTAAGCCCTTACACTCTAAACCCTAAAGCCCCCAAAGCCCTCCATCTTAGGGGCGCATCTAATGCTTCTTCTAAGTAGGCTTCTTCGCAGCCGGGGCACCATTAAAGGAGCTAAATAAATCCTGGTAAAATCCTTCGCTGAACATGTGATAAACTGGGTCCTCAGGTGGCTCAAGCATGCCAAGCTTTTTGTAGCCTTTTCTAGCCTTGCCTAGCTTTTCAATCGGATTCCTGAGCCGGGCCCCCGGCCCAAAATCAGGAAAAATCTAGTTTTATTTAGTTTTATTTAGTGTTATTTAGTTTTTTCTAGCTTTATGTAGTTTTATTCAGTTTTACCTAGGTTTTCCTAGTGTATTGGAAACCACACTGCATGCCACACAATTCCAAGGTAACTCCAGGAAAATCCCCCGCTCAACTAACTGTCAACCCTAAAGCACCAAACAGAACCTTCAATCATACATCCGAAAACTGCCACCCTGAACCCTTTATCTTCATCCCAAAACCCTCGCCACTATCTCCAAACCCTGAACCCCTGAACCCAAAGCCACAGGTCCAATCGAGACGTCATTGCAGGAAATTATTAGTCTTTTTTAGCTATTTATAGCTTTTTATAGCTTTTCTTAGCCTTTAGAAGCCTTGCCTATGTTTTTGACATGTTCCATGGTTTTCTTGTACTTTTCCTGCAATGCTGAAGCGGCCCGCTTGGAAGAGACATGTGATGTGCTCCTGGAGTCCAGGAGGCAACGAAGGTCTTGAAACAGTCCCGAAGTGGTACGCACAGGAGACCTGCATGACTTAAAGCAGGGTGTGTTCGATTGAAGTTTCGAGTTCAGATGCGTGGGGGTTTCGGTTCAGGGTGTAATATGGGAGTTTCCGAAAATATGGGGTACCTTATTTGGGGTCCTTATAATAAGGATCCTACTATTTAGGGTACTATATTAGGGTCCCCTATTCAATACGAACTATACTGCAAGCTGCCTCCATCTGTTCTCGCTATTCAGGCATTTATAGTCTAGTTACTAGGGTCTCTACATTCCAGTCATTAAGGCCCTCATCCTTACTGAACCCTAGACCCCAATACTCCTGGGGCATGTCTGAGGAGGAGCATCAAGATCTTTCCCTAAACCCTGAACCCCTAGACCCTAGAAGCCTGTCATTCAGGCGGGCTGACGCTGCAGACACAGAAAAGGCCGCTGCACCTTAAAACAAACCCTAGGAACCACCAAAAACAAACACAAAAAACGTAAGCCTCAGATTCCTCTAAACTCCGCTCAAAAATCCCTGTCCCCCTCCATTTTCCCACTCCACCCCGAACTTCTCAAAAGAACTACTCCGATTCCCAAAAGATTGCGTAAATACCGCAAGTTTGCACGAAGCCCCCATCCTAACCCTAAAGCCTAAACGGCCTAAACCACAAGGAATGGCATTTGGGCAGTCTCTGTTTATGGTGGCGGCAAGAAGTTTGACCAGACTCTTGCCCTGAAGTCTTTTCAGGGTGGTTTTGAGCTTTCGCGTCTAGGAGTTTTAGGGTTCAGGGGTTAGATTCGGCTGATGACCGATCACAGTTTCTTTCTTGTTTACAACCGTTTAAGTGGCACGGGGGTGATTTCGAAAGCTGTGGGTTTGGGTTCAGCGGCGTGCGTTTCTATTGTTTTAAAGGTTCATGGATTAGAGGGTTTCATGTTTAGGTCGTAATACAGGTTTGAGGTTTACGTTAGTGTTCAGGAGTAGTATTTGTGGTTTTGTTCAAGAGTGATTTGCAGGTCTTGCTGATGTGGGCTCTTTTCTTCCAGAATCGGGTTTGTAAAGTTTGTTTGAAGGCTGCTGTGTTCTGATTGTCTTAGCTCAGGCACGAGTTGCCTTGTTCAACCATTGCTTACAGCCATCCATGAGTTTTCAACCAGGGCGAAGCACTCAAGGCAAGGGGTTTGTGTTTTCGTGGTTTAGAGGTTCTCTCCGTGTGTGGCTCGTGGCTTAGAGTCTAGATGTCGGCTGGCAGATGGCCACTGACAGCCCTAGCCAGGCATAGAGAACTTGGGCTGCGCTCCCTTGAGAATTCGAGATCCTACGAGGCGAAGTTCCAAAACCTTCTAACCCTTAAGCCCTAAACCCTAAACCGTGGTCTTCCACTCGGGTACAGCTGCAGACCTCAGCTTCTGAAGTAGTTTGAGAGCTGCGTATCCGAGCCTCTTCAAGGCCGAGTATACGAACCCCTAAACCCTAAACCCTCAACTCTAACTTAGATCCCCAATACCCAACCTTTAGATTTTTTGGGTTCTCGTGGTTTAGAAGGAATCGGAAAGTTTAACCCTTGATTTCTGGGACTCATTGGGGGGGGTAAGCTAAAGCCAACATCAAGCAGTCCGGCCGCCAGGATCAAGAACCTGCAATGGGGCTCAGAGATTGTGGCCGCCACGCCGGGTCGCCTTATTGACTTTGTCACGTCCAAGGTGATGCAACTTGGCTTTGAGTTAGCGTTCAGGTTTTGTCCTGTTCCTAGAAAACTTAGCCATACAGACAGATTCTTAGCCCCAAGCCCCGTTCCGAAGGCTAGCTTTCGAACTACGGCTGCTTCTGAATGTATGACCATGCTATGTATGCCGACGTAAGCCCGAAACAGACCTAAACCTCAACAGGCCGAACCCGCTTAATCCCTAAACGGACCTTAGCCCCAAGCCCCCAATGCCCTAAACGGTGGTTTCCCCCCCGGTAGTCTGTCCGCTTTGAGCGTAATCCTTGTCATGGGAGTTTGAGAAGAACAGAAGACCACATCAAAAGCTCCTTCAAGCACGTCGTACTACCCGATATAGACCTCCTAAGTCCCTGCGGCTACCCTCTCCACCCCAAATCACAAGCTCGTCCAAGGAGCCTAGAGCGTGTGACGATGCTGGCCACTTGGCGCATGGCTGGTTTGTGTTTGTTGGAGGTGGTCTTTGAGGACTTTTGAAGCGTCTTTGTCAGAATCTTATACTTTTATGGTCTCTATAAGAATTGTAAAGGATTTTGAGGCTTCAGGGCTGTTAGTTTGGGCAATGAGGGGCCCGTTTGCTCCGTTGTCTGCTTGATACTCTCCAGCATTCAACAGGATACGAGGCCGAAAGAAGCAGCATAGTGCTGTCTCGCTCCAAAGTTTTGGAGGCGATGTTCATATTTGTCTGGAGTAGACCTTCAAATGCTCAGGGAAAATTACCTCGTGAAGCCTCTACAGCTATCGAGACCTCCCCCCCTTGCGTTCTGTCATACTCATATTCCTGAATCCAAAAAAAATAAATCGCGACAAAGCCAGGCTTCTGAGGCTTCCGCGGGGTGTGCTGGTAGATGTTAGGTAGGCCAGAAACTTCCAGACCTACACTTCGACCCAAGTCAACAAACTCTAAACCCTAAGCCCCTAAACCCTCTGCAGGTTTTGGATGAAGCCGACCGAATGCTCGTGGAGGGCTTCGCCGAAGAGGTCAATGTCATCTCTGCCCAGGCACCTCTTTTCGCACAAATTTGGGAGTTTCCGGAAAATGTGCGCCCCTTATCTTGGGGTCCCTATAATACTACGCCCTGAAGCCGTACATTGTCAAGTCTCGAATCGAGTCATCCCCCTCGCTGAATCTCCACCACACATGCATGCCATGAGTTTCAATATTTCAAATCACGGCGTAGAAGCCGCTAGTAGCACAGACATGTACACTACACCGTTTCACAATTCTAATTCGACTTCAGGGCCCCTACGATTCTTGCAACCCCTTGTTCTGTTCACGTGGATCTGACGACGACGCTTAATTGTGTTCACCATACCCAGAACAGTAGTAATGTGGACAGGGACATCAACATGACATACGCCGCTTGTATCGGTAATTTACGTAACACCCCCTTCAATTATTACTGCGAGGGGCAGTCGTAGTACTAGCCCCCGAAAAAACAAGATGATGATGATGACGAGGAGGAGGAGGAAGGGTTTTTGCAAACCATCCGGTAATGAATCCTAAGCCCTGTACCTAAACCCTAAACCCCTAAACCCCTAAACCCTAAACCCCTAAACCCTAAACCCTTCAAACCTAAACCCTAAACCCGCCCTTGCACAGATCCGGCCGGAGCGGCAAGTCTTGTTCTTCTCGGCCACCTGGGCTGCGGAGGCCCGGGCCCGAAGCCACGGGATTTTTGTTTGGCTCATACTTGGAGGATCATGGGACTTAGGCTTCCTTGAGGGCTCCTTAAAGGGATCTATAGGGTTCCTTAAAGGGATCTATAGGGTTTAGGGTTTAGGGTCTACTTAGAGGATCATGGGACTTAGTAAGTAGGTTATAATTGTGTCCCCTAGGTAGGGTTATCCTAATTATAACCTACTTATAACCTTACTTACTAAGTCCCATGAGCCTTCAAGTAGGGACCCTGAGAGGGGTTTAGGGGAAGGGGAGGGGGGTAGGGGACTGTACTTTCTGGCATAGGCCTCATTGAGTCCTTATTATGGGCAATAATGCCCCTACCCCTAAGTGTCCCTATGAGTTTCGATTTTGGCCCTAGACTAGGTATCGAGTTTTAACTTTTTGTTTCATATAGAGCCCTAAAATGGAGGGACTTCTTTGTTTCGGTTTTAGCCCTCAGCACTCTTCTGGAGCCTTAGTGTTGCTACCAGCATTTCTTTGATGGTTCTAGGAATAGGCATGCTGTGCTTGTTTGCGTGTATCCAAACATCGTACGTGCATGCATCCCAGTAAACATGCAGACATTGTAAGTTTCATAAGCTCCAAAGAATTTCCTGAAGAGTTTCCTCCACATTCCATGTCTCAACCCTAAACTAAAACTTAGAGTGAGCACCGAGCAGGCTTCAACGCCCTCACATGTCCGGGAGACGTCTTGAAAGCCTTGACACAGAGGTGCAAGAACTCGCCGCGGGCCTCTGTCATTGTTCCCAGCCGGTGCGGCTGTCCGTCGACCAGGACTTCGCATCAACACAGATAGGGTTTAGTGTTCGGTAGGCGGCTGTAGGGTGTGCACACTGGCATGGTTTCCAGGGATCACGAGCCCTTTACCCTAAACTCCAAGAGCGTTCTTATGAGTTTCGTGCAAGAAGCGAGTTGACATGTGAACTCCTGAGGCACGGAGTGTTTGAGGCCTCTTGACGGGTACCGTGATCAAGACGCTGGGACTGAGGGGTTAGGTAGGTAACTATAGGTGAGCCTGAACCTTTTTTGTAGGGGGCTGGAAGGAACGGTTTATGGGGTCAGCCTTTATTGCAAACTCTTGCCAAGCCTTACAACAACTATGGCAAAACTGTACAAACCTTCATAACACCCAGACTAAAACCCAGAAAGACCCCAGGAGCAGGGAAGCTGCATGAAGGCGGCCCGGAAGGCGCGACAAGGAATTGTGCAGGAGGTGGTCGTTGCGGCCTGGCCGCCTTGAAGGGCTTCTTTCGAGGGTTTGTTGTTAAGGGTTTAGGGTTAAGGGCTTAGAGTTTGCGGGTTTAGAGTTTAGGGTTGAGAGTTTCGGGTTAAGGGTTTCGGGTTTCCGAGGAACTGCTGAAAAGGATTCCAGTACGAGAATTATGAAGGGTTCCTTCCAGGGTACTAGAAGAGTCTCAGGGCTCTACTGAGTCGTATCGGGCTTCAGTTATACTATAACTTTAATAAGGAACCACCAAATGGAGGCAATGATTAAGGCCCCTATATTATAGAACCCTACTATAGATCCCCAAAGCCCCAAAGCCCCAAACCCCCCCAAACCCTACACCCTAACCCCAAAGCCCTAAAACCTTAAACCCTACACCCTAACCCCCAAAGCGCTATAGACCCCGATCTTGAGGCTTCTCCCTAAACCCTAAGCCCTAAACCCTAAACCCTAAAGAGGAGCTCATGTACTACATATGTCAGTGGATGTGTTCTCTCTTGCTACTACAACAGTGGCAGTTTCACCGTGTGCCTCAGTGCGAGGGGATTCGATGGGAGGGTCGGGTCTAACACATGTAAAAAAAAGAGGAGCTCATGGGTCGGCGGGATGGAGGGCCTGACTTGGAGGTTCATGGGTAGTTATAAAGGTTCCTGTAAGGGCCCCTTTGAAGGGATCTATAGGGATTCTATAAGGGTATAGGGTTTAGGGTTTACTTGGAGGTTCATGGGTAGTTATAAGTGGGGCTGTAAGTCCCCTGATATGGGTTATAAGTATAGTTACCCTACTTATAACCACACTTATAACTACCCATGGACTTCCAAGTAAAGTTATGAAGTGCAGGGCTTGCTACGACTCTTACACGGTTTAGGTCTTGAGGCTTTGCAATTTCGGGTGCAGTGCTTTTGGGGCTTATTGCTGCTTGCTGCTCAATGCATACAAGGTCAGGGTCTTTCAACGTAGGGCTGGTGGGGTTTGGGTTTTGGATGGCGCAAGCTGTGCAGCTCAAACCGACAGCCTGTCGTGGAGACGGTTCTCACTAGTGCTCTCGTTATCCTGCCCCAATCCTTGTGATTTTTTGGCCGCAGGCAGGCTGAGATACGGGAGCCTTGAAACATGGAACCAACAGATTCTTCCTTGTCATCCCTACAGAGTTGTGACATGCGACAACTCAAAACCTTGAGGTTTATGTAGGTGCTCCGTTCTACATTCGCAGTTATACCAACACCGAAACCCTGAAACCAACATAGCAACTCGAGAAACGTTCCAACCTACAAATGGTTGAATAATCATCGATACTAATCTGTAGAGGTCCTGACTAAATAATGGCTCTACTAGAATATGCCTCCAAACTGGGTTTCCATGAATAATGCTCCTATGCTAAAAAACGCTTGTAGTAACCCGCCTAATCGAACGCTTGCATCGTCCGTCAGAGGATCCTGTGAAGGAACCCTATTCCAAATATGAAGGCCACCGCAGCAAACTCCAAAGGGTCCTAGGTACTGTTATGGGGAATACTTCCCCAAATCAGAATATAGTAATTCCTGATAAGTATAGAAACCCTACATTCTAAACCCTAAACCCTGAACCCCAAACCCTTTGGGTACAGAGCCCGTCATGAACCCTTGAACGCACACACACAGACCCGTAAGAGCCTCATGGAAAGCCTTTAAACACCCAAACAGAGGAGCACCCGAAGAAATCTACTGTAACTATTGAACTTTAAGGCGCAGATATTCCAACACCCTAAACATCTGTAAACCACAAAACACTGTCCGATCAAGCCCCAGTTAAGAAAAGCACTGCAAAGCCTCGCGCGAATTCTCACAGCACCTTGTTTTAGGTCGACTACCCGGACGATTACGAGAAGCAGGTTGCCGAGAAGAGGAGACGCCTTGACGACCATCTGAACGAGGCCGAACAATCCAGGGTCCATTATTTTAGCCAAACCTAGAGGTTGTCAAAGGCATTTCGTGCTTTTGTTCATAATAATTGGAGGGTGGATAAGGGGCCTTTGTGGAGGGGACCCCACTTAATATGCCTCCGAATCGGGGCAAATGGGGAAACCCACTAGGCCCCACTGGGCCGCATTGGGCCCCCATTGCGCCGCAACACGCCTACTCGGAAATGTGCAACCAATGGGGGTCCCTTCCACAGGGGTCCCCTATCCTAATATGTTTACCGAATGTTACATACTTTACGAGGTCTGAAATTATACTGGGTTTAGCCATCAGGGATGAGACTGACAATACTAAGATTTAGAGATGGGTGGTTGTCAAAAGTTATGGTCCCTTTTTGGGTCCCTATTATAATACGGCACCTAATATTTAGGGTACCCAAAAAGGGACCCTAATTTTGACAACCACCCATATATGTATGTGCTTTTGATCATGACAACTGAACCATAACATTCAACAGTAGCAGTGATAGTGATAGTAATGGTGCAGAAATCAATGATAGCAAGATCATGCAATGGTTATTGTTGCAGACTCCTTGCAGAAGCCGATGTGCAGCTACATATGGCTGAAGCGCAATCCAAGGGACCCCGTGCAGTATAAGCCCTAAGTAGTCATGAGGACTCCCACCCCGAAGGGGTTTTTAACCTCCCTTTTAAGTTCGTGGGAGGTGCTTTGGTCTTCGGCAGATCACAAAGTCCTAGTCTTCGTGTCGCAGAAGACGTCGCTCGGCCTTGGACCATGATCCCGCATAGTCTGCAATCGGTTCAACTCCCAGAAAACGATGATTATGGTGATCACGAGGATGGAAGCCCCAGAATGGTATCTCCACACCAGCAGCAGCCGCAGCAGCAGCAGCAGCAGCAGCAACCACCACCATGACACAACCACCACCAGCACCACCAGCACCACCAGCACCACCAGCACCACCAGCACCACTAGCACCACTAGCACCACCAGCACCAGCAACGACAACAACAACAACAGCACCAGCAACGACAACAACAACAGCACCAGCCACGACAGCAACAGCAGCACCAACAGCAACAAAACAACAGCAGCAACAACAACAAGAGCACCAACGGCAACAAGAGCACCAACGGCAACAACAACAACAGCAACAGCAACGACCACGCGCGCGACCATTACCACGTCAACGACAACCACAGACGACGACAACCACAACGACGACAACCACCATCACCGCCAGCATCGCCGCTACTACCCACCCCCAAAAAAAAAAACAAAAAAACACCAGCAACGGCTAACACCGACGGCACAAATAAGTATTTTGCAGTGCCTCTGTCTTCTAAGGTACGCAGACGAGCTGGCAACAAAGCTGTGGGATGCTCCTTTTCCGCATGTTCACTGCACATGTTTGCCAGACAGTCCAGCTTGCTAAGGGGTTCTCATTAATTATCATGACCGCAATGCTACTATTACACTACATATCTTAGTCTCCCTTGTTTATTCTAAGTTTACTAAATCTTTCATCATCCTTCCTGCGACTTTTGTTTCTACAATAAATTGTTGCCGCGATCATGAAAACCCCAACCTGAAGACCTCTTAAGGTTTAGGATTAGGGTATCAGGGTTTTAGGTTTGGGTTTAAGGGTGTATGGGTGTTGCCACGGTGTTGCATTTAGGGTTTGGGGGGGGGTAGGGTTTACAGTTTCGTTCTTCGCTTTGAAAGAATACAACTACAAGCATGCCGCATACATGTACTTCATTTTGATATCTATCCCCAAACCCTATTCCGAGAGAAGGAAATCCTTCACAAGAATCCCGAAGCGCTAAATACCTGAACTGCCCAAACCCGATCTTCGACGCCCTACACTCCAGAAGCCCTCAATCCCTGCAAGCCTGTAGACACTAAGCTCGTGAGCTCACAGAACCCTAAACCCTAAACCCCAAGCGCTAAACCCAAAGCCCTAAGCCCGCGGCTCCGGAAGCCGTCCACCTTTGTCCAAGGCAGGCTTCCAAGCAGCAGCCATGCATGGTGCCTTGGCTGCATATAATGTAAAGGCCTTAATAATTACCTGTTCTATTAATATAGTAGAGGGTTCTTCAAAGGGCTCTGTAAGGGATCTATAGTCTACCATTTTTTCGGGGGTTCCTTATTCTGAATAAAGCTGAATGGGCCCCAAAACCCTGTTCTAATTACTAAGGCCCGGATATTAGACTGTTTCATGGGGTATTCCCGCTGGGCTTTTTTTTGTTTGGGAATTATGTTTTCCATCTTTGGGCTGTAGAACAAGCACCCTTTGTTTCTACAGCTGTATAACCCCGGACCTTGGCGACTCTTTGCAAAAAGCTGGAACAAGCCTGCCTCAGCCGAAACACTGTATGCAGATCATGTCTGGCAAACAAGCAGCCGCGGACAGCTGTGTGACTTCGCGGATCTGAGCTGCGCGGGGTCACTGCAGTGCAGGGGACAGGCACTGCAATGGGGACGGCACGACCATCGTGTCACGCGCCATGTAAGTATCCATGTTCACGAGTTAGGCGGGCGAGCGGACACCCTGACCCACACCCTATGAAACGAAATGCATATTTGCAGTACAGACACCCTGCCCAGCCTGATGGGTTGTTGTGATGAGGAACTCGCCTTCCTCCTTTCAAGCCGAGCGGGGTGGGCTGGTGGGTGGGGCTGTCGGGGTGGGGCGGGTGCGGCCGGGACCTCAGAGTGTAGCCTTAGGAGGGTTTTCACTACGAGTGCAGGTAGGTCTGTGTGCGCAAGGCTTCGGGGTTCAGTTCGGGGTTTTTTCTTGGAAGGTGGCTTGGGGCTCCGAGGTTGTGAGGCAGTGCTGCGTACTTTGGCCCCCTGCCCCGTAGCTCCCCCGCGCGGGTCCGAAGTCTTCTTCGCACCGCTCGGCCAGGCTCTCCCTCGCAGGTTTCAGGGATTCCAGGTGGGTTGGGGCTCCGAGGCTGCAACGTCCGAGTGCGCAAGGCTTCGGGTTTGGTTCAGGGTTGTTTCGGTCTTTGGGAGGCGTGGGGCTCTGAGGCAGCCAGGTCTATAGAGTGCATGCACGCAAGGTTATCGGGGTAGATGCGCCTCCACGGACAAAGCGGTGCATTCATGCAATGCATGCGCAACTTCTCACATGTTGCACGCGACTGCACCTGCGTTCCTGAGCCTACATGCCATCAGCATTTGCATCTTCGCAGGTGGCGCTGGTGGCTCAAGGCGGAGAAAGTTTGGAAGATCTCAGCTCTGGGCTGGCAGGGTGAAAATTACACATGTCGATAATTACCGCTAGACTCAACTAATGTGTTCTCAGAATATTTTTCAATATCAAAGGCTGGGTTCGTGTCTGCAGATGGGAGGACGTGCGCGATGCCAACGGAAGCGGTTGGGGGGGAGGATCTCAGCTTCAACTCAGCTCAGCTTAGGGCTTACACTAGACCGGCACGGCACATCTGACACATGTCGATACACAACCGCTTGATTCGACCAATGTGCTATCTGGCTCATATTCATTAAGGACACCCGCGCAGCCAATGTCCGGCACCTCAGGTCGCGGACTACCTCGATGCCCTGCCGCAGCCTCTGCGACCTATCTCGACCTCATGTGGTCAGAACGCCATGTCATCTAATCGTGAACTTCCGAGCAGGTAAGGTGGATCCCAGGCCTGCGCAGGATACCAGCGGTGCCTTTCGTAGAACACATGGCGAGCTCAACAGGGCCATGTCACCACCATGTCCAACAGCATCAGTGGATTCCAGGCCTGCGCAGGATGCCAGCGGTGTCGGTGCCTTTCGCAGAACACATGGCGAGCTCAACAGGGCCATGCCACCACCATGTCCAGCAGCATCAATGGATTGAACTTGTTGTTGGGGAAGATCCGCTGCAGTGCCCACGCATCGTTTCTTGATTTTACCCAGCTCAATCATGTTATTCATGCCATGTCCTGGCAGAAATTTGGCGATCCAAAGAAGAGAGATGCTGACACTATCATAGCGAGTGGAAGCGATGGCGATTACCGCAGTCGTCAACGCGAACATTTCCGGCGGGTGCTTGTGCAAGTTTGCACAATCAATGTAAGTTCAATGTGAACATTGGGTGTTGCGTGTATCACTTGTATCATATATCAAAATATGTCGCCATGTATGTCGCCTTATAAACCCTAAACTGCTAAACCGTCCCCCCTCCCTCCCCGTGTTCAGCTCGGGAAAGAAGAGGTACCGTCCAAGGGAGCGGGAGCCCCATTAGCTTAAAATCCTCCAACCTCAACCCGTCGTTTAGGGCTTAGGGGTTAGAGGCCTCAACCATCCTAAACCCGAAACCTTCGACATAAGGCCCCCTATAGAACCACACGAAGGCCCTGAAGAATTAGCACGATGGCTCCTTAGCAGAAATAAAGTAACTTACCCTATGCCCTCAAACCCTATATGCTAACTGTTCAGGCCACTCCTAATCCCTCTTGAACCGTTGTAACCCTGAAGCCTTAAAATCCCCAAACGCAGGTCCCTTATAAACCCCTATGAATACGTTTAGATCCCTTACAGATCCTTGTGAACCCCTTTTCAATCCCTACAAAGCGCTCTAGATCCTCTATAGATCATAAATCGCTCCCTAAACTTTAAACTTTTTATAGACCCCTTATACAAATCCCATAAATCCTGCATACATCACTGTAGACCCCTTACATAAATCACCAAAAATCACAACGTCAGGTGGCAAATCGCAGGAAGCCCGGCTGGCTACGCTGGACCGTTTCCGCAAGGGCGAGCTCAGGCTGCTCGTGTGCAAGAAGGAAGTGTTTGAGGATTTGGGGTTTAAGGGTTTAGGGTTTAGAGGGGTTTAGGGTTTAGGTTGTTGAAGATTTGAGGTTTTAAGGGTTGAGGGGTTTGAGGTTTAGATTTTGACGGGTGTAGGTTTTAGGGCTTGAGGTTTTATGTTCAGGGTTTCGGGCGTGTAAGACTAATTCGTCTTTTTCTTGGGGTTCAGGGCTCCAGGGCTGCGATGTTTTGGGGTTTTCGGTGTTTGCTTGAAGGTTTGAGGTTAGAGCTCACAAGACATTCATTAATTTGCACGACGCCCGCAAAGCTCGCTACCGGAAGCCTTGAACGCCACACCCGCGAAAGCCTCAAACCCCTAGCCCCAACATCCCAAAACCGTAAACACCGGAAGCCCAAAATCCTAAGCCCCTGCAAACCCCCAAGCTCCCTAACACCCTACAGGCCGAAACCCGAAGGGGACACTGAAACAGCAACTGAGGCTCCTCATTGCCACGGACGTCATAGGCCGGGGCATTGTGACCTGGCAGCGCTTTAAGGTTGGGATGTAGGCTGTGGAAAACGCTGGCTTTGGGACGTTCATGGTGTGAGTGTTTCGTGTTGCTTTTGCGTAGTGGGCTTTTGTTACTTTAAGGTCCCGGGAAGATCCGTGGATGTTTTTGTTGGTTGGTGGGTTTTGGGCCGCTCTTCCAGGGCGGTAGGTCCTGCAGCCTCCAGATGGGTGCGGCATACACCCATGACCCGAGCCCAGTTTTCTTACCGCCTTGTCTGATGATTAATTAACCCTATAAACCTTAAACCCGAAAGGACATTCCGTCCGTGTCCCACGTCGTGGTGTTTGACATGGGAGGCGTGGAGGCTGGTCGGGTCTCAGGGTTTAAGAGGTTAGCGCTTCCGGCGCAGGAGGTTCTGTGTTATGAATTCTGAGTCTAACTGAACGGCACAGCAAAAGAAGGAAAGTTCACACAAACAACATGTGCATATCTGTACCTGTCCATACATATATCACATATCTATCTTCGTGTAAACATAAATATAGTTAAACAAGTATATATATATATATATATATATATATATATATATGTATGTATGTATTAATATATGTGCAAATCCACAGCACCCACATGCATACATACTCACACACACACACACACACACCGCGGGAGAATCCGGAAATCAATGTTGCCACGCCGAAAGCTCCGGCGTAGTGCCAGGACTTCGTGCGAAATCGAACCCAGTAACAGTGTCGTGTCAAACCCTGGCCCAAAACCCTTCATTCTCCAATACTGTATGAAACTGATTAAGAAACTCTGAGCCTATACCTAATCAGGGACCATAATTTTGACAGCTACCCATACGTAGAACTAACTCTTTATCTGTATCGTCTTTGAGGTGTCTGCCTGCAGACTTCTCCTGCATGTCTTACCTCGTCAGTTTGTTTTACACAGGGGTTTTAGACTTTAGGATTCGCGGCTTTATTGTGTAGGGTTACGGGTTCAGAGTTCAGTGAAGCCGCCCCGCAGGACTACATCCATCGCATCGGGCGAACTGCAAGAGGGAAAGATGGCACTGGCCATGCGTTCCTTCGGCTGCAGAATCCGGCAGTACCTACTCTACAGGGTTTGAGGTTTTGGTTTTTCGGAGGCTTTCTTTAAAGGGGCCGCTAAGGCCGCTAAGGGCTAGAAGTACCGGGAGGGTTTATAGCTTTGGGGTTCAGTGTTGGTGGGTGTGGGATTTCAAGTTTCGATGTTGTCAGATTTTAGTTGGGAGTTTTGGGCCCCAGGGATCCATCAGCACCTTGCACCCTGAACCCAGCGATGAGGCTTTAGGGTTTTAGGGCTTAGCGGGTTTAAATGTTAGACCCTCGACTGTTCGTGCTGCAGAGACGGTGTGTGGTGAGAAGTTGGCATATGCAACGCGATGGCGGCTATCGGCATTTGCATGTGATGGCAAAAGTACCCACTGAATGTTGCCTTGCTTTCTCTCGGCCTACAAACCCTGGGCACAGATTAGCCCAAAAGCCTTATATAGTATGGTCGTTGGGCCCAAAAGCCTTAGTATATGAGTCCTCAGCTTCCTAGGGAAACCTTTCGACCGTAACGATAGCAGAGCAGCTAGAAAAGAACAAAAGGTATCAACGAAGCCTTCATCCGCAACTCCAGGCCCCACATGCTGAAACTTGAATCCCAAGCTCTAGAACCGGAACCTGAACCGGAGTAGGGGACCTTAATATAGTACCCTCAATAGTAGGATCCTCATTATAGGGACCCGCAAAGTAAGGTACCCCGAATTTTCGGAGACTCCCGAACTTTGCATGAACTCTAACCTAAACCTTAAGCCCTAAACCCTAAACCTTCAACCTAAACCCTAAGCTGGTGAAGTGAGTCTACCAAACAAGGCTTGTCTTCTTCGAGTACTGGCACAAGGCTGCAGTAGGGTTTAGGATTCCCTGAGGGGTTCTACAAGCGCTCTATGCGGTTCTAGAGTAGGGTGGAGGGTGTAGCTATTTTATATGTATGTATACCAGTATATATATATATATAGACACACACACGTGTTTGTCATTGTGTGTTGCGGGATTCATGACGTAAGAGTTTGCTTTAGGGCTTAGGGGTTTGCTACTATTGGCATTGGGGCTGTCGGTCAAAGATTGTGCTGCTAAGGGCCGCCGTAGATTCCAACACGAAGCGACAAAGCCTGACATGGCTCAGCCAGCATGGGCTGCTAGGAGATTGTGAACCCCAAACCTTTGCAGCGTGTCAGGAGGCCTTTTGCAGCCCCCATTGACATTAACCAGTCTGATGAATGGGATGCTATAGCTACAAAAACAAGGACAATGGAGACCTACTAGAGGCAATATCGAGTCTGAACAGGTAGTAATAGCATCCCGCAGCACCCTTTGCATGAGAAGTATCGTATAGCCCGAGTTTCAATGCCCCTACTTGGAGGTTCATGGGTAGTTCTACATGGGGTTAGGAGCAGGCAAACTAAAATTATAACCCATATGAGGGGACTTGTAAGCCAAGTATAACTACCCACGAACCTGCAAGTATACTAGAGCCCGACACATGCCGGACCTCCCAACCTCCGCATCTTTTAGAGCAAGCAACCGCCAGGTGTTATTTGGGAGTTTCCGAAAATTAGGGGACCCTAATATAGTACCCTAAATAGTAGGATCCTTATTATAAGGACCCCGAAAGAAGGTACCCCTTCCCATTTGGCCCGATTAGAGGATCTGTAGTGGTGTCCTCAAGGGTGCTGTGAAGGTTCCATGAGGGGTCAGTTGGGGTGTCCCTGCAAATCCTCAACCCTCTTAGTAGCATTGATCCTAGGGACTATGACCCCAATTCTAAACCGCAAGCCGTAAACCGCTGGACCTTCTACATGCTCCCTAAACCTCAAACTTCAAACTTCAGAACACCCTCAACCCTATTCAAGAACCCTTTAATTCATCCCTTTCAGAAGCCCCCAACAGGAATCTCCAGATGCCCGACCTCCAAGAGCCCCTCGCAGGATCCCAGCATCGCATCCCAGCTCGTGGAAGCCCTCTCAAGTTCCGGGCAGCAGGTCCCACCGGAGACCTGGCCGGGCTTTGGATTTAATACCTTCGGACTCTAAGGACTCATACATTAAGGCTTTTGGGCCTGAAGACCATGAGATATAAGGCTTCGGGTTTAATATATGGGAGTTTATGAAACATGAGGGTATTTTTGGGGTCCTTAGGATAAGGATCCTACTATTTAGGGTGCTACATTAGGGTCCCCTATTTCCGGAAAGCCCCAAACAAGTACCAATCACTAAATCAATGAGTTGGGGTTCCTTGTTATAAAAATAAAGGGGCCAAACCCCAAAAACATATATATATATATATAGATAGATAGATAGATAGATTTGTTTTTTTTTATTTTTTAGGCCCCTAATGTTAGGGTTGAGGGGTTTAGGGGTTCAGGGTTGGCGGTATGAGGGTGGCTGGAGGACACTTCCGAGTTTGGGGATGCGGATTTGAGGATTGTTGCGGAATTGAGGGGGTTGGCGGATGCTTGGGGTTTCAGAAGCTGAGACTCTGCATGTTGAAGCCTTGAACAGATGCAACACTGAAGCCGCAAAGTCTAAAACTACTATTGGGGCCTAAATAATTTCGAAAACTATTTTGGGGGTTCCTTATTATTACAACAAAAGCATAATGGGCCCCCAAATGTTAAGGTTACGTGAAGAAGAGCAGCCTTCAACCCTGAACGGGTCCCCACTTTTGAAGATAAAGCCCTAGATGAGGGACCCAAAGAGGGCATGAGCATAAGCATTTATAAGGATCTCACTATCTTATGTGCGTTTTTGGGGCCCCAGTAGAGGGCTCCGCGGAGGTTGTGATTTGACGTCGACACATGTACGGCACGCAGTAGCAATCGTGATGCTTCTGAGTGAGGGAGGTGTTTTTGTGGTGCAGGCCGCTCCAGGCCGTGAACTCACCCGACGGAGTGAAAGCCCATTGCACTTAAGCAAAAAACCTAAAATGATGTTCCCACCAAGGAGTTGAAGAAAATCGTCCAAGAAGTGGATGCCGGACAGCGTCAGGTCTGGAAGGTACCCGTGGCTTTTCTTGGGTTACTAGAATCAGGAGCTTCCCTTGAGGGTTCCCGTGTTTTTTGTGCTAGCTGCAAGGGCTTACAGTATAGGCTATGCTACAAGGTTTCGTACTGTAAGGATTGCTGTCAGGGTTGCCATGTGTTCTATGAGGGTGAGGTGAGTCAGTTTCTGTGTACACACGCATATGTACGTATGTATGGGTGTGTATATATATATATATGTATGTGCACATGAAAACTATGCAAAACTACTCAGCATATGTATACATACATGCAGACATATATACGTACATACATACAGACAGACAGACATACATACATATGCATAAACAAATCAAGAACATGTGTATACACATATCTATGTGTATATATATATATATATATATATGTCTGTGCACAAGCATGTATGGATGTACGGACGCTTTCGTCAGTGCGTGCATGCCTGCATACACATAGACACAAACACTCTGCATACATACATATACGGACATATGTAGGTATATATGTATGTATGTATGTATGCATGTGTGTATGTATGTCTGCATGTGTTCATGCATTATATTGTATTCATGGGCACATATAAACATGACTGTAAACAAGCAAGTATGAGCAATATACTACATACATGAAGAAAAGAAATATACGTGAACATACATGCATATATGCAACGGGAAGCAACAAAGGCTTAAAGGCATGCGTTTATATGCATTTGCACATGCACGTGACTATGCATATGTATATGCATGTGTATATGTATATGTCGTATGTGCATGTGTTTTTGTGTATACATCTATACACATACCCATTTTCTCATATTCAGATGCATAGTATTTGGGGCGTTGGGGGTTTTTGGGTGGGTACACTTTCGCGTTATCTGTTGAGGCACAGCTGGCCTGAATGTTCGGGAGCTGCAGTAGCAGTGGTTTTCTTTTGCGGTTTCAGGGTTAGCTGATTTACGGGTTGGCAAAGTCTAGAGTCCAGAGCTTTCCAAGAGGTAGGGTCCGAACAAAACAGACGTTGCTAGCACTTGATCCTAAACCCCAGACTCTAAAGTTACCATGTGATGGCCCGGTTTCTTGCCATCCTTTTCCCATACAAATTTGCGGTCCTAGTTCAGACCTCCGGATTTCGGCGTTCATGGCTGTGTGTGGGGTGTAGTATGTAGACTGTGTGGTCTACGTTGCAAAGCTTCTATCAACAATAGATGAAGGCCGGAGTAAGAATAGCACTTGCAGCAGTACCTCGGACTGTGGAACCCATGCAGCTAGCCATGGCACCACGTTTACCCTCGATGCAGCCAATACTTCTACAGTGGTCGCCATGGCAATGATATCAACCATATGTGCAGGAAAAAGATCCAATCGACAACCCTCTGTCATCAGGGGAACAACTCCAAATGGTCCGGCAAGCGATGGGCCAGCAATGAGTGGTCCAGCCGAAACGAATATTCTAAGAGATCGGAATGATTCATGTCCGATAGTGTCCCCTTGCAGCCCCTATTGTCGTTGCAATGGCATATTCCCCGAACTACGCAATGTCAATGCCAGCCCAAAAAAGTCAAATGATTCGAAGTCTAGGCCTTGTGCAGACTAAGCTCTGCGATCCAGTCTGATAGTCTGCACGGCGCATTTGAGGATGTGATCCTTAGGATTGCCAGCGAGCTGCGCCCGGAATCGAGAGCAAAAGATGAACCAAGCAGGATTTGAGCTTTGAGGGTTTGGGGTTTAGGGGTTTAGGGTTTAGGATTTGAGCTTGAGGGCTGGGTTCAGGGTTTGGGGCTGTCGCCGAGCCTAATGTCATGGATTTTCGCCCTTCAACCCAGAGCTCCAAATCGTAAATCTTGAGCCCTGCCGGTTACCGGCAGAAGCTAAACCCAACTCATAAGCGTCAGGAGGCATTTTCGACGTCTTGCTAGTTTTTTTTTATCGACAGCATTGAACACGTGTACGAAGCCCGTAGGTTTTCAGGTTTGAGGTTGACAGGGTTTAGGGCTTAATTGCGGGGTTTAGGGGTTCAGGGTCCACTATACTTTGTTTTGAACCCCTGAGCACATCTAATCTGAAAAGAGCTCCGGCACTTTCACGACGCCGACGGCCTTGCCAGTCGCATTCGATATCACCGATACTAGCACCGTAGTACTGAAACTACGCATGACACCATGGTGCTTCTGGTGGCAGTAAGACGCATCGCCAACAGACTGGTACTTTCAAGATTCTCGCCCGGAATCTACAACTTTCGGTTCCTCGGATATCTTCTCAAATGGACTCGACAACTTTGGGCCTAAAGCCTACGTTATTGTAAAGGTGTAGACCCGTTGGAAGGGCAGTCAGCTCATCCGCAGCCTTCATTTGACGGCCATGAAAGCAAACCCTGACACCGTGAATCCTGACCCAAAGGGTCCAGAGTACTGATAGAATCGAATGTAGGGTTTCTATATTAGGAATCATTATCATGATTTTGGGGAAGTATTCCTCATAACAGTACTTAGGACCCTCTGGGCAAATCTCTGATGAGCTGCAAAACCGCCTTAGGAACGGAAGGTGACCTTCGCTTGGGACCCGGTCTCCGTGCATGGGCGTGGTGGGTAGGACGTAGGTAGGATTCAGGGCTTCGGGTTTAGGGATCAGGGTTTAGCAGTTTTGGGGCTTGGGTAAGGGTTTGGGCTTTAGGATTTCGGGTTTAAGCTTTGGAGTTTAGGATGGCTCAAGGCAGCGAATCCTGCTCTAAAGCTGGTGGGAAGCACTACCTAGACCCTTAGAATGTAGTATTTTTATGTATTTTTTGTGGTTGCCTTAGTTTCTTATTCTGGCATCCTAACCATTGAATAGGCCATCCAATATAAGGTGTAGGTTGCCTTAGTTTCTTATTTTGGGATCCTAACCATTGGTTCATCCAGTAAAAGGTACTACATGCAAAGGTCTAGGTATAGCACCAAGCTCTGCAGACTCGAGATCTTCCTGCTTGGAGGTTCTACGCTATCCGGCTTTAGAGCTTGGCACCTCGCAGAGTGCTACGGTTGATGATATAAATCCTGCATTACCCATAATAAGGAATATACCATAATTCCCCTAGTCTAGGGTCATTAATGAAGGTAATGCAGGATTTATATCATCAACCGTAGGACGAGGGGAGCTGCCGTTTAAGGGTAGATGTGCCGACGCAGTATATTCATTGGGGACTATACTGATGGTAGCCCACCCACAGCCTTAGTGCGGTTCCCTGTTTTCCTTCAACGCAGGCAAAGCATCCTAATGTATAGGGGTTTGAATATGTTTAACAATATTCCTTGCTTGTGACTCCGATAGAATTGTACTAATGATAGGATACCCGGATACCCCAGGTCTGAACGCAAATGGCAGTACATGCTGAGAAACCCTACCTCAACCCAAGAAGCCTACCGTTTAGTGACGAAAAAACTCGAAAGCCTGTGCCCGTTGCAAATTTCAAAACATGAGTTTCCCAAGGCTTGTTCAGCTAGTTTCCTGAGCAGGCCCATTATAATAAGGACATCATAACAAGGATCCCTAAAACGATAGGTTTTCCAGGGTCCAGGTAGGACTTGTCTAGGTAGGCCTTTGGGACATTCTATATTTTCCCTTATCGGGCTTAGTAGGACCGTACTTACGAAAAAATTCAGAGGCTTTAAAGGGCCAATCTAGTTGTCTCAAGAACAAGAAGCCCGGCGAGCTGACTCTAAGTCCGAAATCGTCGACGAGAGCGGTGGCCCTCTCAGTGATCCGTGGATGTGTCTTCAGGGGCTTAGGATTAGGGGTTTGGGGTTTAGGATTAGGGGTTTAGAGCTTTAGCGTTAGGGTTTTCGGCTGTAGGATTAGGGGTTTAGGGCTTTCGGATTAGGGTTAGGGTGTTAGTAAGGGCTTGTGGATAAGGGGTTTATGGTTTAGGTTCGAGGTTCACAGCAAGATTTCTGGAAGTCTAAACCAAGCCGTGATGCGCAGTGCCTTGTGCACTGCTAGGCTCCGGAGCCTCCGCTGTGGCCAAGGTGGTGGATCTCAAGGACCAGACTTGTGCATAACAAGCGGTGGGGTTTGGGTGTGCTTCGAAATAATTATGGGAGTTTCAGAAAATAGGGGAACTTAATATGGAGCAAGATCCTTATTCTAAGGACCCCAAAATATGGTACCCCTATGTTCGGAAACTCCCTTATGAGCTTTGGGAGCTTGGGAGACTCCGGTGAATGCGTAGCAGTGCGACACGTTCTGTTGCCCGGCCAATCATTCAACATCCCTTGCTTCGGCCAGCTGTATCCAAAATGGCTTCGATGCCAACTAGCACTGCAAATATCTTGAAAACCAAGCTGGTGAGTGTCATGACTTTCGGAACAATGCCAGGAGTGTCTTTCGTTTTCGCAGACACATCAAATGTAGAAACTGGCAATATGAGCACGAGCGGCCAACCTGTTGACCATGGTCGTGTGACTTGCCTTCGACTAGGCCCTACCCTAAGGCCCCATAGTAGTAGTTCCTGTTTGGTGTTCATATGTAGAATCCTATAAGGTAATCCCAAAAGGAACTACTACGGGGCCTATGGGTAGGCCCTAATCCCCAAAGCACAATACAAGCCAGGTGCCTTGCCCTAAACCCTCACCCCAACCTCTCAATCACTTTGGGAAAGTAGCTGACCTTAGTACAATACCGCGTATAGTCCATTACATGGGCACCTTGCTAACCCTAAGCCCCAAACCTAAACCTTGGATACTGACCCCACCCAGTAACAGCTGGATATTCATAATCTAGATATATTCGGACCTTAATAGTAGCCCTATTATAGACTGTTACTGTCTTGAGGGGGCAGTACCCAACCTAAACCCTGAACGCCAAGCTTCTACACCCCCCCAAACCTTAAACCCTCCCAAACCTTAAGTCCCAGACCTGAAACCCCTAAACCCCAAACCCCCAAACGCTATAAACCCGTAATCCCTAAACCCCTGTATACCCGAAACCCTAAGCTTCAATCGGCAGTTTGTTCCCAAGGCCCTCTCCAGATCCCCTCGCGGAAATTGACTGCGAGCAACGTAGAGGCTGGTTTCGGGCGTTTGAGGTTTATGGTTTATGAGCTTCATAGGGTTTAGGGGTTTAGGCTTGGGGTTAGGGTTTAGGGTCAAGGGGTGAAGGCTTCGTGTTTCGGGTTTAGGGCTTCAGAGTGCAGAACACTTCGGGCTTGGGGCTTCGGGCTCAAAGGGTGAGATTATGGCAGTTTAGGTGCCTAGGAAGGGGTTCCTTAGGGTCTATAGGGTTTACAGGTTTAGTTTAGTGTATAGGACTGTACCCTGTCAAAGGGTTACTCTGTATAGGGCGCTTATCCTTCTAGGGCTTACCCTAAGCCCACCCTCCAAACCCCTACCTTTTCGAAGTAGACCTTGTGGAGCCTTTATGCATCCTTGCAGATCCCTTCTTCAAGTGCCTGTAGTACCTACTAAAGGGAACTCCAGAAAGTTGGAATATGGATTAATCCCTTCCCCCTAACACTCACCCCCCCCTAATACAAAAACTTCCGGCCACCGGAATTTCGCGGTTTCGGGCCCCACATTCAATTTAAAAGGGACAACATTAGGGGGGGTGGCAGACCTGTATGTGTTTTAATTGAACGAAGACTACAGTAGTACTAAAGACAGCAGAGCTTTAGGGTTTAAGGGTTCAGGGCTCAGGGCTAAAGCTTTAGGGCTCATGGCTTTATAGAGCCAAAGATTACACCTGTACTAAGACACCAGAGCTTTAGGGTTTAAGGGTTAAGGGCTCAGGGCTAAAGCGTTAGGGCTTGGGGCTTTAGCGCTTAAAGTTTAGGGCTCAGGGCTTTAGGGTCTAGGGCTGGAGGCTTAGGGCTTTAGTAGGGCTCCAGGCTTAGGATAGCTAGCAGCTGGGAGTCCGGGTACGCGGATGCACCGAACCGAAACCCCCCTAATATAAAAACTAAACCTCCGAAATCCAGTTTTTATATTAGGGAGGGGGGGGGGGGGCCGTTTAATATTAGGGGGAAGGGATTAATGGTAGGATCCCCTATAATTTACCTTAAAGGGGTTACGATAATGATATTTCAACTTTCTGGCTTCTACTGTAAGTCCCAGATCCTTTGAAAGAAGGGTCTCGCCGAAGGACTTCAAGAAACTCCAGCCGGTCTCTGTGGATGACGCCATCGCTGAGGCGCCTTGTGCTTGAAGAGTCATGAGTACTTAGAGGATCATGGGACCTAGTAATTACTGTGCTTATAAAGGTAATTATACTTATAACCCGAATTAAATTACTTATCACCATACTTACAGTACTAAGTCCCATGATCCCCCAAGTAGTTATAGCTAGGATCATGATTGAACTGTCACTCAAACTGGCGGATCTTAGCTGTCGGTTGCTGAGACGACGTCGTTGATTGTTGGAAGCGGTGGCCTCTAAAGCAGGTTGCCTATGCTGCGTCCTCCACTGTTACAAGCTCTCGACGATGTTCTCCCATGTCA